TTTGATTCTGAAAAGGAGGGAGGGTGTTAAGACTTAAGACCATCGGATAATAATTCATCAACCACGTGGCACTTGATCAAGTCTCCCTCAGCTTGCAACACCTCGAGTATGGCATGCAAAAGAACGAACTCCTTTTCACTATTCATTGCCTTCAACAATAAAATGTAGAAGACCTTGGCATCAACGAGCTCTTTTCTTGCATGCAACACCTCCTTAAGACAAATTTTCTTGCCCTACCAAAACCATTTGTTTGAGCTCATAAGAAAGGAGACAAACTTATTAACATTGGACTAATTTAGTCAAATACACCACTGCAAGAAACAGAGAGGTACACACAAATAGGGTGGAGAGGATCACCTTTTCATTGAGCACTTCTAGTGCAAATAAGGCATACTTGACAATCTTTCCACAATCAACCATGTCATAGGACGGGTAAACGAAACAACTATCTGAGTTGAGCACAACAATTTCCTCAGAGTTCAAACTTTCTGCTTTTCTGTTAATCAAGCGATAGTACAGTTGTTATAAGTATAACAGCCAAGAGTGTTAAGCTCACAACATGACCATAAATAGTTAGAGTGTAAAATGAAAGTTTAAGTACAGTCCGTTCTCAATCATCAATGAGCTAAATAAAACTCAAGAGAAGCATACAAAAAATCATCTTTACCCGACAATCCATTGAGGAAGAATAATGTATATGAACAAAAAGGAAGAAAAAATTCTCAAAATGGAAGTTTACAAAGGAGCTCGATGTACCTTTTAAACAATGATAATTTCAACAGTTAAACTGTTCAAAGGATTACATATCTCTCTCTTAAAAGCGCTCTCCTAGGTATCATCCAGACATCTTTAAGGGCGGTTTGAAGATAAATAAAAAATGCAGCGATAGAAAGGGCTCAGTGGCTATGAGAAACCAGGTCTACATTCTAATCTTCTGTAGAAATAAACATGGAAAATATCTACCCTGTCAGGTGATATGCCGATCACAATCCGAAAAGAATAAGAACAAAGAGATTCAGGGAATCATACAGTCGACAAACAGAAACCATCGGTAAAGGTTCTAATAGAGCATAACCAGTACTAAGAAGCATAAACACACACAGGGACGCACAAAGAAGAAATACACGAAATGAGCTAATCACATGCAATCAAAGTTCTAAAGCATAACAAGGCTAAGAAGTGCTAATCGCACTCACTCACTCACCTATCGTAATATCGCAGTGTCATGGAAGACAACCAAGCTCTTACTCTGTGGGGAAAAAAAAGTGAGCTTCTATGAGGACAGAATAAACTCAATATAAGCATACAAGCAATCATTTCTAACCGGTATTTTTTCATAATGAATCTGTCAAACAGTGTCAATATACAATTTCAACAATGATTATATTTCAACAGTCAAGTTGTTCAAAGGATGATATGTCTTTCTCAAAAAACTCGATTCCAAGTAGACGCCAAAACTTATAAATGTTAAAGATAGTCCAATTTTATAATCAAAGATAAGTTGAAATTCAATAAATCAGGAAATACCCAGCAGATACAAGCTGATTAACCACCAAACGAACCCCGAAAAAGAAGGAAAAGGCTTCATGATCGTAACAAACCAGATCTACAATTCCCCATTTTCCTATTAGAAGGCCTCATATATTAAGATACTCTCTATCAGCTGAAGGTACTAACCATATTATTTAGTTGTGCTGCATCTAGTAGCTGCTAATTGCTAAATTACACATCAACAATTGCCACAATGAACTTCCCATTACCTTATTTTCTAACTACTCTTGAGATCCTTTGCATATTAATGTATATTGCTCTATTCCCAAAAGAATTCCATAGAGTGGTAATAGCCTAGATTGTCCAGAATGGAACTTGAAGTGCTTGCTCTTGAATAGGGGGAAACATGCCAATAAGATGAAAACACGCATTCACACCCATAACCAATCACAATTGACAATGAAGGGTTCTACAAATTATGACGAATAGATGATCAAGCATTGCCTGAATAATAGTAAATGAGAAGGATAAGCATCACTTACAAGTTTCTATCGCCTTCAATGCCAGGTTGGATCTTTTTGGCAACCTGCTCAACCTTACTGCAAAAGAGAAAGCAACATTTTCCAAAAAATAGGCAACCTAATACGTTAACACATTGCTGGATAAAATCGGAACGATTGAAAGACACACACACAAAAAGAGGGTTTTGGGGGAGGGGGAATAAAGCTTCTTCAGAATCCACATATATTATTTTATACTTCACTGAATCTAGCATCTGCCTAAAATATTGGACTTCCATTGGATCCGAAAACTGTACTATAACAGGATATGCCAATCAATCCGAATCATTCTTTTCCTCGGATTCTTTTTAGTAAACACAGCATCTCATTCAATCGTCTACAAATGATGAAATGAGAAACAGGTAGTTATCCCAATACATCGAGACACAAGAAAAGCAATCAACTACTCTTCAATATGAGACGATTTTGAACTTCTAGAATGATTCCTTCGAAGGTTATCAAAGCCTGCTTAATTGGCTCATTCCCTTTAAAGAAAAGTTTCATTCAGGAACACAACTGATGAACTGAGTATGAGACATACCCACGGAGAATATATTGATTGGTACACGAGAAAGACTTGTCACTTTTTCAACTTAGCAAAATACTGGAGAAACTGAAATTTGATGACGAAAGGAAAGAAAAATGGCTCCATTCTAAAGATATAAAGGAAATGCACATAGCCCAACTATATCCCATTCCTCTTGAAACAACAAAAAGAAATTTAAAAAAAAAAAATAAAGGAAAAAAATGGAATGGAACTTAAAAGCAAAAACTGCACACACTCTGTGGCTAATCATCTCATCATCGACTTGCAAATGCAATATGTATCGTCATGAAACACTTGGTAAGTTATTCAACATTTTGTACATATTGGTCTACCCCCAAAGAGAATCATTATGAATCAATACATTGGCATTGGGTGAATGAATTCGAAGAAAAGACCTGGACTTTCTACATTCTATTAACTATAAACTGTTTTCAATGTCTAAACAATAAACAACAGAGTATCCATTTTTCTCTGGAGGCAAAAGAGCATGGTATGGTCAGTTAGAAAAGCATTGCTTACAAAATGTCCACAGTAAAAAAACGGAGCATTTCAGAAACTATCAAGCATCCATAAGCAGCAACAAGGAAAGTAGCAGCATATTCAACTATCTAAAAATCAGAATTGGAAAAAGAAAAGAAAAAAACAAAACAAAAAGAACCACTTTTTTTTTTTTGGTAAAAAATACTAGTAGATGACCTCCCCATCATGGCAAAAACATAGAAAACAGGAAGTGCTTAGGAGAAGTAACCGAAAGCACAAACCTTGTTTCGGAAAAAGGGTAAGAGAAGGACTCATCGACCAGCTGCCACTTGCGCAACTGCGTAATCTCACCAAGAACATTAACTTCTGCATAGTAAACATTTAAGTCGCCATTGTCGTCAATCCCCTCCAATGTCAAGTAGTAATCATACCCAGCAACCAAACCCTGGCTTGCTCTGACCACCCTAACTAACCCAATATTCCGATCCTGTCACAATCACAGAATCACTCGTAAAGAGGCACAGCTGTATTACCGTAAAAGAGGAGAATCTTCTCCGGAGATTTTATTAATTGAGGAAGTAACAAAGAAAAACCTCGGTTTCATTATGCATCATCACGGCAAATTCAGCCAAAGATAAGGCTTCTTTCCGATTGCTGAGATCAGAAACACCACCAAATGAATGAGTCACGCCAGAAACCTCGACTGACGGAGGAGGCGGTAGATAGTAGTGTCTACTGGGAATAGACAAACATCGGCTATTGAACGAGAAATTCTGGGCAAAGGCGGATCTTTTGTTACTACTACTGATGATGGGACCTGAAATTCCGGAACCGACTTTGAAAAGTTGATGATGACCAGATCGCCATGCCCTCGATTTGCTGGCTCTGCTCAGAGCAGCTCGGAAGGCCATTCTTCTTCTTCCCGATATCTCTGTGTGTACCACAAGCTTCCTCTTCTTCTTGTTCTACTCTTGTTTGAAATAATATTGTTAGTTCGTACCCAAAGAAAAAAAAAGAAAAACGATTAATATCAAAAACACGCTTCAGATTTGGCTAAATTATCTAAAGTTTCCTTACTTTTTGAGAAAATTTTAAAAATATCCGTTAAACGAAAGTCAATTATCATATAAGTCCTTTGAGAATTGATGAAATCATCAGTATTTTTTTTTTTAAAAAAAAAAGAAATGTCAAAAAGACATTTGAACCCCGTGGAAACTCTCTTCCAATTTTTACCAAACTCTATTAAAATCAATTATCAACTTCTAAATTCAAACTTCAATTTTTTACGAGCCACCGAAAGCTGAATTTGAAATTTTTTAAAAGTGAATATATGATTTTAGTAGAGTTTGAAAAAAAAAAAATATGAAGGAGGATTTCTACGAGGTGAAATGTCTTTTTGGTGGCTGAATTTATGTGCATACACTAAATTTCATTCTCTGGAAGACTCTTTTGATAATTAACTTGACGATTAAGAAATATTTTTCATATTATCTTAAATAACAATAAGAATATTTTAGATAATTAACTCAATGTTGGGGGTGTTTTTAATAATTAAGCATGCATATTCTCTATTGGAGGCGACATTATTTGGATTACGGATATTACAAGACCATGAAAAGGTTTGAGCATTTATGGAGGAAGTTTTAAAGCGATCAAAGTACTATTAAATGAGGTCTTATTCATAATTTTCTTATTTTTGGTCTTTGTTCGCTTGTTTAGTACTAGATTCATTTTCTAGGCAATAGCCTCTTTCATTATACCAATAATAATAATAATAATAATAAATTATTCTTCCGTCCCATAATTATTTTCCAGTTTTACTAAAATGAAATATTTTATTTTTGGTCAAACTTAACTATATTTTACCTTAAACAACCGGATATACCCCTACATAAGTAATTGTTTAACCATTAAGATTTTATGGATAATATTTTTTACTAAGGACAAATGTGTAACTTGATCCTAAACATTCGGACAAAATTTTTTGGGCAAAGTGGACAACTAGTATGGGACGGAGGGAGTAAAAAATAAAAAATGTCGGGGGTGTTTTTAGTAAAGTGTCAATTACCCCCTTGACTGGGAGAACTGAGTAGTCAAACAGTGTAACTGCTGAAAAAAACCCAAAAAGGTTCCGTCCTTCACGCTCACTGAAACAATGGCCTTACGAGCTGTCGTGAGCAGAGCCAAACCATGGGCATGGGTTAGCCGATGTCATCAAACTTTCAAAGGCGAATTTGGATTCCTTGGTGCAATCAGCGGTGGTGCCAAATCCTTTTTTGGCCCTAATTTGTTCAACAGCCCCTCTCTGGCGTATCATAATCCCTCTCGCAGACGCGACAATGGCCTGCCTCCAGTGCCAGTCGAGTATCCTACTGGCCCTGAATGTTTAGGACGCGTTTTTTCTGTGACCAATCACAAACAAGCCTTTGCGTCGGCTGAATTTGCCGTTACCCAGCACAATGAAACCCAGGTTTTTTTTTTTTTTTTTTTTTTTTTCTGTTTTCCCCTTTTCCTTCCCTCTTTTTTTTTCCCAAAAAAAAATAATAATAATAAAAATGATAAATTTTCTAATGAGTTTGGCTGTAACGAAGTCATTATGCAACTTTTGGTTATTGAAGCCTAGGAGTGATTATTATTATGGCAGGGTCGGCATATTCGGTTTCAAAGGGTGGTCAGAGCAAGTAGGATGGTGGTTGTTGCCGGGTACGATTACTACCTAACATTGCAAGGGATTGATGAGAATGGCGATTTACATATTTATTATGCAGAAGTTCGTCACTGCACAGTTCAAAAGACGAAGCAATTGCGCAAGTGGCAGCTGGTGGATGAGTCCTTTTCTTACCCTTTCCAGCTAGTAAGGTTGGCTCTTTTTTTTTTTTTTTCCCTATTCTAAAGTTCTAGAAAGGTCTAAAATTTACTACTTCTTCTATAGCTACCCGAAGGTACTTGACAGTTTTTAAAAATGATATCCTTAGTTTTATACTATTTCAACTTCTGGTTGTGTGCTTGAGGCTTAAAATGACTACCTTGCTGATGAGAGTAACTAAAAATTTTACTCTTTTCTCAAACTCTTAACTTCTAGATCAGTCATTTTCTTCATCCTTTTGGTGTTAGAATATGATGGATAAGGTTGCTATTTCGATTTTATGATGATCCTCATAGAATGATCTATGTTAGCAACGCATTGAATAACTCACTGAGTTTAAATTCAGATGTATCTTCTTGGCCAACAATGTTATCAGTAAATTGCACATTTTGTGCATTTTTAGCAAATAAGGTTTCCTAGCAGTCTAACCTTTTCTGTTGGTGGATTGTTTTAAAATAACTGAGTAGCTTTTTGAAATTTTGAGATTTTGGTACGGACGAATAAATTCTTCAGTATTATGTTATTTTATACTTCTTTTTGTTCTTTCAGAAGGAATGGTATGATTGTAATCTTGTAGGAATATGTGCATCTCTTATAATTTCTTTAGGATAGATGCCTTTGTCTCTTTCCTTTTTCGGCATTTTTTAGGTTTGCAATTGTTTCACTAATAAAACTGAAGGGTGATAAGCATTTCTCATGGAACAATCAATCTATTTTCATCTCCAATTTTAATTTGACTGTGGTGATTAAGCATACATAGATGTTTGCAAGGAAACAGAAAGAACTTGGAAATTACCTCATATCAAACAGCAGTTAATTGCTTTTGTTAATGTCTTACTGCACCATGAATAATTAGAACTAACTTTTGCCAGATCATTGCATCACATTTGTCTATTTGAGTAAGATTTTGTATTTACAAAAAAGGATGGATTCATAGTGTGTCCTGCTTCTGTTGGAAAATGTTGGAAAGAAACAATTATCTGTTGTCAGAGCTCTGATCCACTGAAAGCTCGGGCACCAAAAATTAGCTGTTTTCAGATACAGTATAAAAATTAGTCAGCACGAGTGGGCTTTTTTGAAGTCAAAGGAAGTTCAATATAGAATGCAGATACACAGCAAAGCATAAATGTGTGAATTCTTAAGAAGCTATTAAACTACTACTTTCCCTTTTTTTTGCTTTCATTAGTTCACATTCTTATCGGGCAACTTCATTATGAGTAGATTTCTCAAATTACTGAAGCTGTAGAAGTTAATCCTTTTCTGTCGTATAGTGAAAGGGAGCGGACCGATGTACCGTTATGGAAGTACTGTGGCCACAATTGGGTAATGTAAGTATTTCTTGTCTTCTTTGTTTAGTATATATAATTCTTCCTCAATGAACATCCAGCTGGAGATGATGCTTGTATGCTTATTTAGAGTTTTTATTAAACTCGTGGTATTTTAGTGATTGGAATTTGTTTTTCCGCAGATTAAGAGCGTTTCTGCCTACTGTGTCACTGAAATACAAAGAACATACAGGTCATACAACCTTTGAGTGAGTGAGATCAACACTTCTTAGCTTTTATGTTTTAGAACTTTATTTGCTTTACTGGGTGTATTTTTTTCTTATCTTTGTCACTGTATTTGTTTATGCATCTTATTCCTGTTTTTGTTCTATTAGTACCCATTCTAATGTAAACTGTGTTTTTTTGATTGTCCGATGCCCATTTCCTACATAGATGAAATTTGTGATCAGTAATTCAGCATATCAACCTAACAAGTTAAACTTTATTCATGTGTTTACCCAATGATGATTTTAGACTTTGTTTCTCATGGTAACAACACCTCATTTGTCAGAGTGCCTCTAATTTATCTCCAAACCATCCTTTGCATTTGTATGTGTGGATGATTACTCTGGAAAGAGCGTTGTAGAAAGATGTGCATTCCCTTGAACAACTTAACTGTTAAAATATCATCTGTTTTTATGAACTGCTATTATTCTGGGCAGAGAATCAAATCATGGTATGTGCGTAGGAAATCCTGATCTGCCTAGAAAAACTATGAACTCTGATGGAAATGTACTGCACATCACTGATTCATCTTCTCCGGTCTCAAGTGATGATATCGAACCCCTTCATAGTCGTACTGCAGCAAGTGCTGATGTTGTCCCTGTCTACAACATGATTCATTGTGGAAGGGTTGTCTACCATGCTTTATCTGCCGTGAGAATGTTCAAACAAAAGGAGGTATGTCCCCTCCCTCTGATAGTATGTTGTGGGTACCTCTGTATGTTCGTGTGGGAGGGGTGTGCATTATAGAACTATTATAATGGTTGATTTTGTGTGTTTCCTTAAGAGCTCAAACACTAAAATGATTGTGATAGGGTAAGAAAGTTTATCTTCAGAAGGTGTTACATGCAAGCAAAGAACAGGTTGATGGCAAGGTATTCTACAATCTATTGTTGCAAGTGAGGAATGATAAAGAGGAGTTCAGTTTTCTCCATGCATCACTTGAAGTGTCACAATTTAAGGAAGAGTTGATCAAGTGTCACGCGGTGGTTGAATTATCTTCTGGCCCCCTTGGGAAAAAACCGGTAATTACATTTGAATTTGTTCCTTTAAACTCAAATCGTGTAAGTTTTGTTGCATGCTTATCTGTCTCTTGCTGGTTGGTTTGTGTTGCAGGTTTCTGTAGGGGCGAGCAGGGTGTCTTGAGGAGTGTTAAATAATTTAAAGATTCAGTAAGCAGCTTTTTGTATCAAAGTTGTTGGTTCATCCCCTCCCTAAGGTTATCGAAACTATATCTTATATTGAAAAGTTATTGGGTACAGCTGTTGTATCTTAGTGCAGCAAGTACTAGCACCTCCTTTTTTGGTGGTATAATTCCCGTAAAAATTATCTGTCTCCCCAAAATTACTATTTTACTCTTATTATTGTGTCTGGCTGCACAGTCCTATGTGGTACAGCAACTGCACTGAATAGTCTTTTGTGATAGTATGTGGATGTAGTATTATTATGTAGGAAACTGTAATGGAAAAAAAAAACCAACCGGCATATAACTACTAATGATGGAATGAAATACTCCTACTAAAAAGACTAATGTGATGATTATCTCCTGCCACCTCTTGTCTACGTACGTTCTTTAACCTGTTTGGGAAAATTCAAATGACGATCTCTAGTTAGAGATTCTTTTTCCGCCTCGTAAATATTCCAAAACATTTGTGCTGTAGGAGTAAATATTTCCGCCTCGTAAATATTCCATAATAACAGTTCCATTTAACTTTTTATGTTTTCAATCCATTTTTTTTTCACCTTTTTTTATTTTTTTAATATGTATTTTTAGGTATCTTTATATAAGAGATTGGGAACGTTTACGGTGTACATATATAGAAATACTGGATATAAATTCTAAAACATCAGCAAATGTCTTCCATGTAAATGTCCATCAATTTTAAAAGCATTTTAATCGATATAGATTGGATATGCCGTTTTTGTCAAATTTTTGCCATGTACAGCACTCGACGTAAAGTTTGATTTAAGACTTATTAAGAGTGTAATTTTGTTGCATCTAAACACAAATTTATCCAATCATTACATTCACTTATACATCAAAACAGCCCATATGCATCAATTTAGTCCTTTATATATACATTATTAAATAGTAGTAATAGTTCCCCATCTGTATTCATTGGGGAACGCAATTTCCCAATCAAATGTCAACAAAAATCAGTCAGCAAAATCATACACAGAACTCCATAAATTATTTTTTATAAAAGGAAAAGGGGGAAAAAAAAGTCAATACTAAAGACAGCTAAAATAGAGTATGGTATAATGAGGTATGATATGAAGTAAGCACACTAAATTAGTCTAATGATAGATGAAATTATTAGTTAGGGTCACAACATGGACTGTTGACTAATAATCGACAATAATGTATGCACATCTGATCCATATATCTTCAGTCAGTTGTTGTTGACGTACGTTTGTTTAACTTATCTGCCAAAAAGTTCAAACTGATGACCTAACGAGCGATGATTTATTTATTTGTTTTTTCATTTCTCGTAAATTTCACAAATAGTTATAAACAAAACTGAAGAGAAAGAGAGAAAATATCAAAATAATACTCCCTCCGTCCCATAATTATTGTCCACTTTGCCCAAAAAGTTTTGTGCCAAAATTATTGTCCAATTTGACTTTTTATGGATCAAGTTACACATTTGTCCTTAGTAAAAAACATTATCCATAAACTCTTAGTGGTTAAACAATTACTTATGTAGGGGTATATCCGGTTGTTTAAGGTAAAATATAGTTAAATTTGACCAAAAATAAAATCTTTCATTTTAGTAAAACTGGACAATAATTATGGGACGGAGGGAGTACAAAGATAATTAAGGAATTAAAAGAGTAAGTGTGAAATTATAGATGTGATTGGGTGGGTATGCAATTGTTTATTTTCTGGGTAGGCACCGATAAACTAAAATTGTACTACGTACTAATCAATGGGTTTACTTTCAGTTGGTAACATTTGGTTCTCCTAAAACATCAGGGCGGTATTACTAATTATTACTCCTGTTTTCAACTCCAAGAGAGGGGTTATCAATCAACTCATAAATTCTACTACCTCCGTCTCATAATTATTATCGAGTTTGAGTTTTCATTTTTAGTTCAAATTGTATTAAAAGTGAAATTTATAACTGGACAATAATTTTAGGAGAGAGAAAATACATTTTATTACTTCGTAAATCAAACGTTCGACCAATCAAAGAAAATGATATAGCTGGCTTTTGCCCCCTCTATTAGTATGAAAATTATAGGGGGATCCAATGTGTGATGAATTTTTACAATATGCATGCAAAATCACTTAGAAGCAATTGCGATCGAGTATTGACGTGACACTTATGTTTAAGCATTCATCTTGCAGGTCAGGAATATTCCATTAGTTGGAGAAATTAAATCTGAAAAAAAAATTAAGAAACTCCAAGGAAATAAACTCCAAGACTAGTGGTCCTAATTATCAGAATGTATGAAAAGCATTGATATTAATTAATTGATTTCCACAGCTTAGTTTCGCCAAGAAGTATACCTCACAGCAAAACAACACCATTTTTTTATTTTTTTTTATTTCTCAAAGTTGGGTGCTGATAATGATATAAAATGCTTACATGAAGATAGACCAACGCCGTTTGTGATGAAATGTATGTGCACGCCGACGCCGGTGGCCGGTGGGTTCCTTTAATTTTGGGTGTGCATCCACGTCGAAGAGAAGAACTTGGCGGTAGTTTAACGCAAAATGTGTCCTTTAACTCATTTTAGCATTTTTCTTAATTGAAAATGTTGTCACTGACTTTTATTCTGGCCCTTACATCTTGCGGAACATCTGTTACTGCATGTTTAAATTTGTTAGTCAAACTTGACTTGATCAAAGTAATACTCCGTCCGTCCCGAAATTATTATTCAGTTTGATGTTTCATTTATAGTATAAAAATGAACTAAAGTTAAAAATTCAAACTGACAATAATTTTGAAAAAGAGGAAATACTATATATTGAGTTTTTGTATTTTACAGAAGTAATCATGATCAGCAAACTTACTAAATGTAATTAGCTTCACGAATAAAATACACCAGTATAATTCAATACTTCATTTAGTCAGATTTAAAATACGTACATTAAAATCAAATGTATACTCCCTCCGTCCTATAATTATTGTCCACTTTGCCCAAAAAATTTTGTCCCAAAATTATTGTCCAATTTGACTTTTTATGGATCAAGTTACATATTTGTCCTTAGTAAAAAATATTATCCATAAAATCTTAGTGGTTAAATAATTACTTATGTAGGGGTAATCCGGTTGTTTAAGGTAAAATATAGTTAAATTTGACCAAAAATAAAATCTTTTATTAGTAAAACTGACAATAATTATGGGACGGAGGGAGTACATTATAAATAAGAAGATTAAAATAAGGATTAAAGGGAGTAGCATGTAATCGTGACTTTAAAAGAAAAGAAAAAAAAAAGATTTGATACTTCACAAAATATTATATAGGGATATCATGACTACTTGACCCCTTGTTCGCATTTGATTTTTTTTTTTTTTTCTTCTCGTCAAAGATATTTTTCAAAAAGGTCTCAATAATTAAATGTCTGTCTACTTGTAATTAATCTTTAGTAAATCAAATACCACTTGGTCATTAAATTTGAAAAACATCGCTACGATCACGACCTCCTCCCTACAAACAACATCCGTTTCAGTTTCATCAATTTGGCCTTACTCAAATTATTATTGACAAAAACCTAACCCAAAACACAACCGACTGCTTCTGTCGATAATTGAATCCCGATCACTCCTTCATTTGTACTCTTCAAGTTCAAACAATTAATGGTTACGAATTAACTCCTCAAAAATGTTGGATTAATTATAGCCTCTAGTTGTTAATTACGATAATCATACTGGATTTCTGAGAGGTCCAGGGACCTAATTAATGTCAACTATTAGGCAAATTGCAGGAATTATATTCGATTCAAGGACGCTAACATTTGCCAGATTTAGTGAATTAGGGTTCTAAATTAACAACGACGCGTCCACATCGGTGTCTAAAATTAACTTGCATGACTGTATCACGTAATCGTGGGTTTCCACAAGCGCTTTTCTGGATCATTTTTTTCACCTTAATGAGGACGTGACTGCGCAACCAATCTCATTATATCCTTTCATTTTTATTTTCAAGAAAATAATTGAGGTGAATAATTGTGAAGCCTATTATTCATATGCCATTCAAAAACTTATGCTCCATGCTTCTTCCTACCTAACTCAAGTACTTAACCATAATACTACACTTATCTTGATTCTTCTTTACATGCATTCGTGTCCTTAATTAATTTGTTGTTTCCATACCTCTACATACAGGAACCATAGTTGATCTCCTTCCCCTCTAAAATTAATTAACATATACTTTATCTGTTCTAAAATGATTATCTAATATGGAATTTTATTTTTAGTGTAACATTTATACTAGAAATAAGATTTTAAATTAGACAATCATTTTGATACGGATAGAGTATATAATTTTTTGTAAAGAAACAAACTAGAATTGTACAACTTGTTTTTGTGGAAATGTTATGGGAGCGCAAATTGGCTTCCAAGATAACGTCGTCGACGTCCCTGGCTGTTGTCACTTTCGCAAGACAAGCACCCTTAAACCTATGGAAGCAAATTTGCTTTATTTTTTATATGTTTTATAACTAGAAAATTCAGTGTATATAATCAGAGATTTCAATTCGATGAAAGTAATTAATACGCACAAGTCATCACGACCCTTTTTTTAGTTGACTCTGCAGCTTGCTGTCTCAGTGCACCCAATTGACTGTATTATCGGATCTATATAGAAGAAGTATCCAGGAATTAAAAGTTGTCACAAGAATGTGCTGTTTCAAGCTTAGTGGACGGTATCTCAGTTTGTGCTTTGCCGGCATTTGTCAAAGCATTGCAAAGTTGTCAATTTTAGTGTGTGTTTTTAGATGTTTTTTTATATTGAAAATGTAAAAACATATAACAAAAATGTAAAAAGATACGTTGGTATGAGACAATTAATATTTTATTATTATGAAAAAACCATCCAAAAAACAAAACAAACAACTTTCTCTCGCTCGTTGCATGAGATTGAAACATTAAGCTTATTGATCACTATCAGTGTTAATTCTAGGTAAATACTCATCGTTGTAAAATGATTGTTATTTTATTTTTTTTAAAACAGAAAAAGTAATTACCGGCGTCACCAGATAATTCAGATCAAAGCAAAGTCTAATATATTCATATAGAGTTAGGAGTTCGGGCTAAGATCCAAGAACCAAGGATTATTTTGCAGCAGGAAATCTGGCTGATGTTTAATGAAATTTGAAATACACACCACACTTGCGCACCTCCAAGTAGCCAAAATGCCCAATCTCTCTTTTGACTTCTTTCTTCTTCTTCTTCTTTTGTTTGTTTTTTTTTTTTTTCTCGTTAATTAATGAATAGCAATTTCAAAGTCGACGGCGGTACCGTAATAACTCTCATCTGGCCCTCGGAGGGTTAATTAATAAATAATGGACCTTCAAGTGGGGGCAAAGTTACCGTGTCTCTTCAGTGTTCGCAAAACAATAAGCCATAAAATAAACGTTTAATATATGCTATTTCTTGCTTCTTTCATCTGCAGGGGGGGGCAAAAGGAAAAAAGGAACAACAAAGGCCATTTATTGCTTGATACAAAAATGTGAAACCAAAAACTATTTTAAGAAAACGTGGAAGTATTATAAGTACGTACTACTTCCTCCTCCGTCTCATAATTATCGTCCAGTTTGTATTTTCATTTTTAGTTCAAATTGTACTAAAAGTAAAATCTCAAATTGGACAATAATTTTAGAGTATGGGGAGTACTTGTTTTTAGTTTGGGGTTTTCTTTTTCATTTTTGGGACATTTATTAAATTTGTGAGGATGTAATGGAACTTGCAACTTACCGAGTTTTAAATTTTAATTTGTCGGGCACAAAAGAATCGTAGGTAAGATATTACGGTCGAAGAAAAATTTTGTGTCCATTTGATTTTTTCGTCTCAGAGAAGAATATTGCAGAATTACATGAATTAGTTGTATACCTTCCTTGAATGTTTTGTTTATTGAATATAGACCATCATTTCAAAACTTGAAAGAAATGTTTGATACAACACAAAGGTTTGCCCTATGCACAATTCTTTTATTGATGGATTAAGATCAAAAGGGACCCAAAAAAAAAAAACCCCCTCTACTAAAAACAATGAAGATGAAAATTTGTTTGTCTTTTGTTTTGTTTTATTTTTATTTTTATTATTATTATTATTATTATTATTATTATTATTATTATTATTATTATTTTGTGAGTGGGCTAATGTATTTGTTTGGCTTTAAAAGTCCTCCGGCATTTTCAATTTGCGTCGTGCATTTTGTTTTCATTTCATAATTTTACTGATTAGTAGATAGTATAATTATTCAAAACGATCACCATCTTTTTGTTTTATTCTTACTCTTTTAAATTCAAGATTATCAGCCTTTAGTCAAAAAAATATATATATATTTTCGGCCTAAATGTCACACGAAGACATCCTGAAGTTTGAAATAAACCAGTAATTAGGGCTACAGTAATGAATATATAAATTGTATGTGTGGAGTTAAGTTTGAGAAGAAATCATTGTTTGGGTGCAAATGGCAAAGAGTGGGAAACAACATTATTTTCTCCCGAAAAAAGAAAAATAAAAAAAAATACCCAACATAAAAGATTCATGATTGCTAATACTACCAAACTGATTTTCCTTTTTGGTTAATCGACAAGCGAAAAGTACCTGGGATATTTAACATTGGAAAATTGAAACCAATGAATATCACTAGTAGTCATATATATTATGGAAAAGGAAATTTTATATATATATATATACCTTGTCAGCTTAAATTCCCTATCCAATCTATAAATGGAAGAACCATTCAAAGTAGATAAACTCAGTTCATCTCACATATATCGGGTGTTGACTCAGCTAATATCTAGCCATTCATTAAGACACCTAATTTTGGATATTAAATTATTAATGGTTCAATAAATTTCGCACTCCACTATACTAAATCAATTACTCCCTAATTTTGGAGTATTTTATATATATATATATATATATATATATATATATAAAATGAAATCAATCAAGTTGGGCGGGTAGGGGATCCCTCCCTACGAAGCTGGGGAAGAACACGGAAGTACCCCACACCATAAGCTACGGTGCACACGCAGGGGAAAAGAGAATCTCATCTCCTTTCATTCCTAGTTGGCTACGGATTTTTGGCATATAAATAGGGTTCTCTTCTTCGTCTTTGTATACTTTTCTCTTCTCTTGCTCACACACTCCCCACTTTCCCACGTTCATTATACAACAAACAAACAAATTTTACTACTATTCAAATTCCTTTTAGCTAGCTTTCCATATTATATAGTACTACACAATCATATATACATCCAACATTGTATTCTCTTTTTGGTTAGTGATTCATTAAGGTTTCTTAATATTCCACAAGGATTCTGTTCCTCTGTAAATTCCTTTCTGCCACAAAAAGAAGAACAAAATCCCCCGATTATTTTGTTTTCCACATCCTACAGTTATGGTACGTCCTTTTTGTCTCTTGATTTCTCCTTTACAATCTGATGAAAAGGAGGATTGACTTTTGGTAACTTTTTGTTTTATGTTTTTGCAGGCAACTGAAATCGACAACGTCAAATATGAAGAGGTAAAGAAGAAAAAGATTTAATTTTTTTTTTCTTCTGATTTGATTTTGTTGATTTGTTTAAGGATTTAAATGGAGGATGCATGAAGCATCTAATGGGTTTTTGTTTATGGGTCGATTTTTTTTTTTGTTTTTGGATGTAACAGGAATTTATTCTAAATGGTAAAGGATTGAAGCTTTTTACTTGTAGATGGCTCCCAACAAATTGTGACCCGAAAGCTCTGATTTTCTTGTGCCATGGTTATGCCATGGAGTGCAGCGTCTCCATGAAAGGTAATTTCATCCGAACTCCATCCAAACTCCATGATATATGAACCATCGAGATTCAGGACATTTTTTTTCTCTTTCTTTCTCCACAACAGATGCTGCAATGAGGCTTGCAAAAGCAGGATTTGCTGTTCATGGGATTGATTATATTGGACATGGAAAGTCATCTGGTCTCCCTGGTTACATAACTAGCTTTGATGATCTCGTCGATGATTGCTCTGATCATTTCACTAATATCAGCGGTATGAATTTTACCCAAAATCATATCTTTTCTTTCTCTGTTTCCTCTGTTTCATCCGCAATTCAGTGATTCAGTCAAATGTTGATTCAAAAACAAATTAATGATGGTATTTTTTCCATGATTGTCAAACTTGCAGAGAAGAAAGAAAACAGGAAGAAGATGAGAATACTGCTGGGAGAATCCATGGGAGGAGCAGTGGTACTGCTGTTACACAGGAAGAAACCAGAGTTTTGGGATGGTGCTGTTCTCATGGCTCCTATGTGCAAGGTTTGTTTGTTTTTCTTCTTTTTTTTTTGGGTCACCATTTTCTTTGATCATCATAACCAGCCCTTTTTCATCTCCATTTGTTTCTTTTTCCAATCGAAACTTGAGTATTATTGCGCATTAGGTGGGCTAAAAAAAAGAAACACACACACACACACACGACTTATTTGGGATCGGATTAGATTAATGTTCCACTTTCTTTTACAATCATTGGCTCTAGGATTGTTGAAATTTGGAAAAAGGAAAGGCCAAGATTAGTCTAATGTTTGGAACCTATATTTTTTTCTCTGCCACAGAGGAATCCTACCAGCCAAAAAATTACAAGTGCCAACCACTACTAAATTGGTTATCTATCTCACTTTGTAGACCCCATTTTTTGATTTCTCTGTTTTGGCACCTTTGCCCGATTACAGTAACAAATGTACATTTTGAGGCAGTCAGAGGGTTTGGTTCCATGGAAGGGAAGAATAAACCAAAGATGTCATGGTCTATTGGACCATCTGTTTGTTGTTTCTTTCTTTTAATAAAGAAAGCATTCAGAAACACGGAAGTAGTCCTCCAACTGTCACACCTTAGTGGTGTAGAAGACACAGAATTACTCGTATGAGAGAAGATACTTAGGAATATTTCAAGTAAAATTCATTTGGTTGGATTAACACACCAATGGAAATGGAAAGGCGATTTGTGGGTTGTAGTATGAACTTGTCTAGATTAAACCCTAAAAGGCACAGAAAAAATGCGAAATAGTTAGAGAAAATTCACACGAGAACGTCTTTTTCTTGGTCTTTTTCCCAAACTTGAAAATGCCAAAGTCAAAAGCCAAAAGCCAAAAAGCTTCCGTCAGCCGGCTGATGGCCTGGTACACGCTATATATTGATTTTAAAATAGTCAAATCTCCTCAAACAAAGGGACCCTGCTAGGAAGAAAGATAGATTAACGTGGGATGACAAATTAACAATTCACAGTTGGACTTCCACAGAAGTTTCCTTGAGTGAGAACCTATACTCTTTCACTTTAGGATATCTAAGACGATACTAATTTATCTAATGCTATATTATTTGTCCACATGACGCATTGAAGCAAGTAATTGGTGCCCTCCAAGAAAAAGTCAAAATGTGGAAAAAAAGAGCAGAAAAGAATAACAAATTTAAGTGCACAAAGCTAAATTTTGATGCTATGGATAAAATATTTTTGCTATGAAAGTCAACCGGCCTGATCTGTTGCGTAAAATTTGCAGATTGCCGACGAAATGAAGCCATCTCCATTGGTCACCAATGTTTTGACGAAACTATGCAACTTCATCCCAACATGGAGGATTATACCAACCGAAGATGTTATTGATTCAGCATTTCGGCTTCCTCATATTAGAGAAGAGGTAGAATTTTCTTCCACCCCCTTTACTTGAGGAATAATAGCTTTTTGGATCTTACTTTTTGTCAAGAAAGATTGAAACAGAACAGTAAAACCACTTCAGGAGTGCTTATGTTTGATCATTTTGGTTCCACAACAGATTAGAACAAATCCATTGTGCTACAAAGGACGGCCACGCCTCAAAACTGGCTATTATCTATTGACAGTCAGCATGGACTTGGAACAAAGACTGCAAGAGGTAAAGTACAAAGCATGCATCAAACAATCCATAGGCTATGAGACATTATAATCTCATCACATCTATTTTTTCGAGCAACTGAATGATCCAGCCTGTGCTGAAAACTAAACTATATTTCCCCCTGTTGAATTGGCCAGGTGTCCCTACCATTTATTGTTGTTCACGGTGAAGAGGATAAAGTCGTCGATCCATCTGTTAGCAAGCTGTTGTTTGAGAAAGCGTCCAGCACTGACAAGTCGATCAAGTTGTACCCAGGAATGTGGCATTCTCTTACCTACGGGGAGTTGCCAGAGAACATAGACATTGTGTTTACAGATATCATCAACTGGTTAGATGAAAGAACAGTCGCAGGCAACTCGCGGCTGGAAACCGAACGAAAACATGAACATGACAAGTTATACGATGAAACCAGCAAGTGAAGCTTGCAGGATTTATGAAAACGCATTTAGGTGTAGCAGCAGTTATATCTTGTAAAAAAGCTTGTGTACTTCAAATCATTTATTTTTCTAAAGAGGAATAAAAGCATTTCTATCATCTTTCCAAGTGACCTATATGCAATCAAAAACAATCATTAAAAGAAACTACAATTAGTTTATATTTGCCAAAAAGATGTAAACTTGACGGAGCCAGCGACAAGGGATAGAGAAATGAACTCGTCTACATAGGGAACACCTGTTCAGCTTTTATTCACCTAATGGACCCCTGACAATGTACTCTAATATCCTTCCATCCCAAATTCAAACACGAGACAGCAGTAGTAGCTCAATCATAGACTGTAGCTTCTGCAAGTTGGATCTACATTATACCAGCAGCTAATGCTCATGCACCCCATTCACATGGAAAAATCCTAATAGGCTAAAAGAATGCTCACTGAAGGTAAAAGAGGTTCGCCTACTGAATGAGGAGGCCTGTTTGGGAATGTTGATTCTAAGTATCAAGGAAGCATAGTATTAAGTTCAGGTATGCTAATCAACTGATGGCCCTCATTTCCATTGACATGACCAATAATATACGGTACAAAATCAGATACCAACGATAACAACACATAAACTGGAAAGCAGGCGACGAAATGTGGTGCATTGAGCTGACAACCACGAACCTTGGCTCGAGTATGATCGTTTGTAGTGCACTTTTACGTCCTTTGATCGATAAACTATAACCAGTCTTGTGCATCAAATCATCTGCTATCTGGCTCTGGAAGTATAATAAGACCCCCCCCCCCAAAAAAAAAAAGAACTGATGTCGAATTCTGTCTATGCCCGATTGCTCTCATCCTTACAAAGAATTGTACCCCGAAATGGATCAACTTTAGTTTCTCGGACATGTTTAAATCTGCAGGTTTCAGAAGTATCACTTCAATATGCCATCCAATAGCTCCGTACCTTTTAGTATGGACTTTGAATGTCTGCTCAGCTTTATAAGCCCTCTAAACTTTCCCCTCAAATATATTGGTAATCTTCATCTTTCATTACCTTGGTCAATTTTCTTAGCTTTGTTTTTATCTGTTCGATATGCGGATGTGACAAGTCCCCAGCAACAAACACATGAACTCGGCTCTTGAGCTCAATCCAACTACAACCTGGCTCCTTATTGACCCCTCTTAAATTCATCGACCTCCTAACACGTTCAACATCATTTAGTCTTCCTAAAGCTGAATAAATACTCGACAACAAGACATACGTGGATGATTCTGGAGAACCCAACTCCACTAGTTTTTCTCCTGCATACGCTCCCAACTCATAGTTTCTATGATTTCGGCAAGCACTTAATAAGATACGCCACAATGATAGTCCATGATCAATAGTTGCTGACTCAATAAATTCTTTTGCCTCATAAAGCTTTCCAGCACGACCTAAGAGATCAACCATGCAAGCATAGTGATCTACCTTGGGGGGTAATCCATATTCATCAGACATCATTCGAAAATATTCCCAACCTTTCTCCACTAAACCCATGTGGCTACAAGCTGAAAGAACATTGATAAAAGTGACATAGTCTGGCTTGGTAGAATCCGTTCGCATATCTTCAAACAGTTCAAGGGCTTCAACACCCTGCCCATTATGTGAAAGACCAGAAATCATTGCATTCCATGAAATGACATCTCTAGAAGGCATTCTCCAAAAGACATTATTCCCATCGTCAAGACTCCCACATTTAGCATACATAGTGGCAAGAGCACTTCCAATGGGAGCTTCAAGACTAAATCCATACTTGATCGTGTGGGCATGTATCTGCTTTCCTTGCTCCAGACAAGCAAGACTAGAACAAGCTTTTAACACACTGGCTACAGTCAACTCATTGGGCGCCATAAACTCCATTTGCATTTTACAGTACAAGCTCATAGCACTTTCAAAATCCCCATTCTGAACATAACCACCAATCATGGAAGTCCACAACACAAGATCAGGCTCTTGCAAATGGCTGAACCCTTTTTGAGCATCACATACGTTACCACACTTAGCATACATGTCTACCAAAGCTGTCATGACAAACATATGAGCCTCATAACCCAGCTTCAACAAATAACCATGCACTTGCTTCCCTGGGAGAGCAGCCTCGATATCACTGCATGCATTGAGCACACCTACAAGCGTGTATTCACTCGGCACAATCCCATAGGAATGCATATTTGAGAACAAGCTCAGTGCTTTTTCGCCATTTCCAGTTTGAGCATAACCAGTGACCATTGCAGACCACGTAATTGAATTCTTATCGTTTGACAGTTCAAAAACCTTGACAGCATCATCCAAATTCCCGCACTTGGCATACATTGTAACAACAGCATTGCCAACTGAAATGACTGAGAGAAAATTCATCTTAAAAGCCAAACAATGTATTTGCTTCCCTACGTCAATAAATTCCGGTAGTGCTATGGCGCTAAAAACGCTAGTCAACACAAACTCATTCACGTCCTCCTCCCCCTCATCAAGCATTAGCCTAAATAACCCACATGCGTCCTTAACACGCCTTTGCGTAGCATAACCAGAAATCATCGTAGCCCACGAAACCGAATTCCTTTCAGGCATTTCATCGAACAGTTGGCGGCCCTCATCCACCAGGCCCATCTTGCAATACATGTTGAGAAGAGAACTATTCACGAACACGTCGGAAGAATCAGCTGTTTTAACAACAAGAACATGCGCCTGTCTCCCCACGGACGGGTCCTCAAGAGCGGACAATGCAGCGAAAATTCCTGAGAAGGTGTGGGAGTTGGGCAGGAAGTTGGATTGCCTCATCTGCTTGAACAGCTTGGCAACCGAAAGAGAGGAGTCTAGTGTGCCCAATTGAGAGAACCCATTGATGAGGCAATTCCAGGAAACGACGTCCTTGTCCTGAATCTCTTGAAACACAAGACGGGCTTCGTGCAGACGATGGCATTTCGAGTAGAGATTGACAAGATTGTTGGAGAGGAAAGTGGAGGAGAAGAGGCCGGTTTTGATGAGATGGGCGTGAAGGGATTGGCCTTTTGGAAGGTTTCTTTGCTGAGTATGGTTGAGGAGTTTGCTGAAGATGGTGCGGCTTTGTGCTGTCAATGCAAATCCATGATTCATAAGTGGAAGCCTTGCCGGTTTGCACCAAACAAAGTTTCAATTGAGAGCAGAATTTTTATAATGAGACCAAATTTTCTTCAAATACTAATATTGACCTTCAACATAAATTTTTACAAATTAATTTATCATCCGCTCAATTTTCTTGCCAAATCTTAATTTTCTCTTATCACTTTAGTTAACCAGGATATCTCCATTCCCATCTCTTTCTCTACAAAAATTAAAATAATAAAAAAAATAAAAAAAATTCTTCTAAAAAACTACTCCACTGTCCCAAAATTATTGTCCAATTTGAGATTTCACTTTTAGTACAATTTGAACTAGAAATGAAAACCCAAACTCGACAATAATTATGGGACGGAGGAGGGAGTACAATCTTTACGAACACAAGGATAAGCAGCAACAAACTACAACGGATCTGTCACATTCACCAAATGTGCCGCAAACAAATGTCGAGAATGTTGTCACCAAAAAATTTAAAAAAAGAAAAAAATTCTATACGAGACATGAAGAATGAAAAAGATATCTATGAGGACATTAAACCTGAGAGATTAGACAGAGAACATTAGGGTTTAATATTTAAATAGCTTGATTTTTTCTTGGAATTGGATTGATTTCCACAGTTTTTTTTGGTTTATTTTTTTAGGGGGTTTTTTTTTTTTTTTTGGTGTGTTCTATTTGAATTTGCCATTGCCGATGAAAATTCACAAGCAAAACTTGGGATGAAATATAGAGCGGCTGCGTGAAAAAAGTTTTAGCAATATTGAGGGAAAATTGAAAAATGACATAGATGATGTTAATCATAATTAATAGAGTTGAAAAACCAAGTATGGAGGGAGGGTATTGTGGGTGTTTAAGAAAAGTTTGCTCTCAATCTAAAAAAGAATTCTCTTAATTTATCAATTGCCTTTTTAATTCAGATAAACTCAAAAGGACGATTCTCTATTTCATATAGCTGCAGCTCCTCCGATCAACTGTATAATAGTATTCGTTAAGAAGCCGATTTTTCCTGGCAACATTCATTAAGCAGTTTTCTCTGTGTTTTTGTCACCTTCTTCAGTGGTAAACTGGTAATCTGGGTTGGGTATGTAATGTAGGAAAACTCCTGAATCCGAAAAAAATAAAAAAAAAATAATAATAATCACCATGAGATGATGATCGTTGTAAAGCTTGTATATCAGTTTACTTGGGTAGATCGAGTTGGTGAAGCAATTGTCCCTCGAAAGCGCGAGGCAAAATAATGAAAATTCCAGATTTCAGTGGGCAAGAACAATTCAGTCTAAAACTGATAGAACAACCGCAGAAACCCATTGTTGCATTAGTATCAACTACGATGATCTACATTCTACAAAATCTGTTTGAAGCACCGATACATAGCAATTTGTTGTTACTAGAGCGCAATTAACAGAAAAGACCAAATTCTGCTACTTCATAATTACAACTAAAAGCTCTCTACTGCGTGCTAGATTTAACCTAATCAGCCGCTTTCAAACATGCTTAGATTTTCATAGATATACGGGTTAACAACTCAAATCTCCCTCTAACATCTGGAAATATTCGACATCGTAATGCAAAGTGCTTCCTTTCCTCCATGCTTAACTTGTTGAACCAGATTTTGTGAGCCATCTCAAGCCAAACCACCCTCATTCTTTACGAACACTCACCAATCTACCACTTCTACACATAACAATGACACACCCCACTGCGCTTAAAACTGCACAAAAAGGAGAGAAAGATCATCACAAACATGCATATACAAATTCAGACTATTACAGTTCTTCTGATTCTGGGAATTGCTAGGTTTCCAGATAAATTTCATGATCTATCGAAAGAAAAGAAAGGCCAAAAAACTATAATCTGTGCATCTATATACTTTCTCAGCAGGAAACACAATATTTCACCACAGCTTTTCACAAATTACAAAAACTATTTCCATCTGTAGCTCTTTCTTTTTTTCTTTTTCTTTTTCTTTTTTTAAACGCTACGTGTATTACTAAGAGATACCTACACAAGTACATAGCATTCTTTTATAAGCTATCTGTAGCTGGTGATATGTCTAAGACATACATGGAAACAACCTACTAGTTTACCTCTAAGTATTCTTCTATCAGGTTAGTTAATCTGACCCCGAATCATGACAACGGGTGCCATCAGTATATAGCAACTTAGGTATAGCTTTCTCATATATTGCATTGCTGGTCAATATCATGGAAAAGGTGTTTTTTTTTTTTTGGGAAAACTGACGAGTTTAAGACAGATGTAAAGCCATACAACTGATCTGGCCATGGGTGGACATGCAACTAGGAGTTAATGGTAAAAGCAGAGAAGCAAATAGTATTTCACCTCTGATATACTAAACTCAAATGATTTTGTTCCTAATTTCTTCAAGCTTTTTCACAATCTCTGCTGGTGTCCTGTCCAATTCATCAGCAATTTTCCTCTGCATATCGACAGGCAAGGTGGGGAATTGCTCACATAAGTCTCCATCAATCACATCCTGCCAAAACAGAAATTGAATCTCTTTGATCAGGTACACATCATCCCAATAAAGTGAATGCAAGAAATGATGACTTAGATATCAATTCAACGTAATTTGAAGGAATAATTAAACCAAGGAAATTCATTACATTAAAAACATAATATAGAATCAAAGTGACAAATAACTGATGAGAATAATAGGATCCATCTGGCTACCACTTCAGTTGTCTGGACTCTGGTCTCACACACAAAATTATATGGACTTGTTAGTGATCATCAATGACCAGCTTTTCAAACTGGAAAGAATTGGAAAATAACATACATATGCCACAGAAGTTTCTCCAATATCTCATTAATATCACTGTTTCTTTGTGTGCATGTGTTTGTGTACAGATTATGAAAATTTGCAACCTAGCTCATTACTACAATTATAAAGTTCCGCGCAAAATTTGTTTTCCCTGAAAAAGATAGCAGGAAACATATATATTTAAAACTAGTTTTATTTTCTCAAAATTCTGGGGTACTCAGTATGGAAACACTATCAATCACTGTAAATATAAGATATCACACGTAAATTAGTGTGACTCGCTGCAGGCAACCAGTAAAAGATGTATGAAACTAACGATGATGCATGGCAATGAGAACAACTACATCTTTCCTGAAGTAATCAAACAAGCACAATATTACCTTCACAGGGAAATAGGCAGATCGATAGGCCATATGATCTCTGCCACAAAGAGGTGGATGTTCCTGTCTCAAATGCATTTCTAAGTGTGAGAAGAAGTCGACATCGTCACGAGATGTGAATGGAAGCATTGCTCCCACACTTCCCATGACAGTCCCATAAATGATGCCCTCTCCACCACTAGGGATTAGAGAAGCCTTCTGCAAGCAACTGACCACATCTCCAACATGAAACTGCACAATTTCCTCGACCTTGTTAGGAGCGCCATTCAGTTTGCCTTGCTCCCACTTTATTTTGCCACCAGTGGGATCTTCTTCAATTTCATCAGATACATCTTGCGGTAACCGCACAAAATATACATTTCCGAATTTGTCGGCTCCTGCCATGGTATCAAAGTCTATGTGGCTTGCACAGGTTAACCACCGCGGCACAGTATCATCAGCAAATATGTAAAGCTGATTTTCATCGCGCCTATACTTGCAGTAATGAAACGACTGTACAAAGATAAGGGAAAAGGAGAAATGAGCACAACATCACAAGCACAGGTTCATACCCAACGGGTAAACAAACTTGCAAGATGATAGTAAATTAGCGTTAACCTAGAGATATAGCACCTACAGTTATTCCAGACAGATTTAACTCCAGAGGTATGGTTAATCATAATTCAGGCAACTGGCTGCTCATTACGATTTGGGTAATTAATAATAAATAGTTTATAAATACTTGCAACAAGCATCTATGTAATGATAAAGGCAATGCAACTTGCCCCCTCCCTCACACTAAAAAGTACTTAGATCTAGTGTAACATTTCCATCCTCCCCAAAGATAGGAGATGGCGTATTTCTTGTTACAAGCTATGCATAAGACTGTGTCCTACCACATGGCAAGGATGTCTTCATTGCAAACGATTAAGCATCACAGAAATACCGAAGTAATAGATTTCTCACAACCTCTAATCAAACAGAAACATAGAAGACGTGGCATCACATAGACTGCTTAAATCATAAAATGGCCTGTAAAGATTCAAAAATGTGTTTAAATTATTTTCAACACCAATAAGATATATCCTTAACCAGAAACTTTAAAAAGTTTGCAAAAGCACTGTTAAATTGTCTATAAGGTCTTCATGTTGCCAGTCAAAAAAGTTTAAAAGTAAAGCTCAGTAAACGGCAATCTCCTGGTGACAATACAGTTATGCATACATGCACATACATATACAACCACATACATATTCACACATAGTGTATGTACATTAATAGCACCAACATATATATAAAGTAACTAGTTAAACAGCATACCTCTTGAATGTCACCAACATATATCCTGTCGCGGTATGTATGGATAGAGGTTATCGTATTTGGGAACAACTTATTCTCACATTTCCTGAGTAATCTTCTCTTTCCCAGATCATAGAGTCGAAGAACAGGTCCTATACCAGCTAATAACCTTCCCTGAAACTGACATAGCGCAAGGGGAATACCTTCTACTTGAGTCTTGTGTAAAAGCTCAAGGACCTTCCCATCTTCTTTGAACCTATATATATGAATATACGCGGCATCAAAGGCTCGTTTTGGCCAGTACCTGAGACCTTTTGCCGTACCCACAGCTAACAGCGTTCCGTACTCCTTATCATGAAAATTCACAGTGCAAATGCTGAAAGCTGCTTCATTGTCCTGAAGCTCTAACAGACAAGAAGTTTGGGTCGTCCGTGGATCAAGGACTCTGATACAAGACACCCACTTATCCGATTCTGCTTTGGGATAGCCATACTGCTCATCAGACAGGGGATCATTCTCTTCTTCCTCGCCACCATTCTCCATCTGTTCAGCATTTCCATTTTCTGCCATTCCAGCAGCCTCAAAGCACTCTTTTTTTGTAGCTTCACGCTCCTCAGCACTAAAAGCTCCTTGATCACTTTCGATAATCACCAACAATTTCCTCTTAGGTTGGAGAACGAATTTCCGAGGAGTGTACCTCAGAGGGATAGTAGTTTCATTGAAGGTTTCTCCCAATCTCTCAATAGTAAACACCCTCAAAGCATCCCCAGCAACAGCAACTACACCTTCTGCACACTGATCAGAGGAAAAGGAGGCTGCAAACTCAAGTGTTTCATATGAAAGAGGTGTCAAGAGGAAATGACCTTGATGAATGTAACCAAGCCAAGGTCTGCTAGATAAGCAAAGCATAGCACGACGCCCTCTAACAATAATTGAGAAAAGCTTGGGGGCCCGAAGTCCTAAGAACCGAGACCGAGCATCGGAGACCTGACCAGTCACCATATCCACCACTGTTCTAAAAAGCACCCCATTTTGTAAACCCGCATTCAAAAACAGATTGGCAGGGTGATCAGCACCATCTTCCCCGCCAACAGAAGCCTGAACTTCGAGAAACAGAAGAGATTCTGGGGGTGAAGATACACTATGCATGCTGAGAACCTGCATGCAGTCATCAGGATCCAACGAAATGATACGAATAGTATTGTCAAATGATCCAACTGCAAGGAAACGTGACCTTTGTCTTCCTTCAGGTACAGGGGCAATGTCCAAACAAGCAACATCTCCAGACATTTCATGCTTCTCAACCTCCATTAATTGGCCAGTCATGTCCATCTCAAAATAAATGAGTTCGCCACCACTAAGGGCAATTACAACTTGGAGTCTGTTAGACCCAACCTTAACTATTGTTCTCTTCCCCGGTGTTCTCCATTCATTGACACGCCCATCTTCTCTAATATGCCTTATTCCACTAGGGTGAACTTGCATCAAAGAGTCATCCCCAATCAAAGAAACAGAAAGAGAGGGTGTGGTATCAAGAAATCCACTGTCACTAACTTCTTCAATTGTCTCACCAATTGAAAGGACAAGAGTAGCATTAGTAAACGAGACGACAATGTAAGCATCAAATTCATCATTGAAATTCTTTTTCACCGTCCACACCGCATTTGGAACACCTGGAAGCTGTGAGACTGCCATTTCACTGATAGCCAACCCCGGTCGTAGAATGCGTAATGTTGAACGCGGTCCACGACCACAGAGTGCAAATATCTGGGGTGTTTCTTCCTCAAAGAGATTTACGATTTTTAGATCCATCATGGGCATCAAGCTCTCCACCTGGTCAATTCTAACAAGGTTTTTCAGCTTCCTAGGTTGAAAAAATACAGGTTGAAAACCCTCATCAGTTTCCATCAATGTAGCAGATGAGGCTTCCACATCAGGATCTTCTCCTATTGCTTGAAACTGATACAAAGCATGATTTCCAAACTCAGAGGCCGCAAAAAGAAATCCTGATTTCAAAACACACAATGAACACGTGACTGGAATAGTATCGAAATACTTGATCTTCAACTCCTTCACCCTATCATTGTCATGATCCAACGTGACCTTGAAGATATCACCATATTCTGTTTGCAACAAAAAGAAAAACATGGACTTCTGCTTATGCATAGCAGCAGACACAATCAACACGCCACGCTCAGCTGGCAAATCTGCCCTCCTAGGAATCACTGCACGAATATCAGGGTGGCCCTGATTCTTGTATATGACAAAATTCTCGGCACAAACAAGCACCCCACTGGGACCATCCCCACCTCCAGGGACAGTCACAAGCATATTGGCACCATTATCTACCTGATCTGACCATTTCCTCGAAACATGATTGAGACCTAAATCCAACTCATAAAACGTCAAGTGCTTTTGTGCTTCAGTTGCTGCTTGACCAGAAGGATCCTGGTCGGCTTCAGAATAGTCCAACTCAATAGCAGCAAATATAGGGTTATCAAAACCACAGTCAACGCCACATATAGAATAAGTAATGGTATGACTCTTATGCGCCTCTAACGGCGACGATATTGTCAACCTAGCAGCAGTGTCCCTGTTTAATACGTACACTAACTTCTGCTTCTCACAGGCCCCAACCATGGCAGCCCTGCCTTTGGGGTCAATAGCTACATACTGCCCAGGCACAATCCTACGGCAACCAGATTTACCAAAAGTTTCCTGATGAATTTTATCGAAATTGTTCTTCTCTTTGTTGTATTCAAGAATTACAATCCTTCCAGAATCCGAACCGACAACAATGTAGTCCTTTTGAGCACCAGTAAGGCGAAACTGAGCTAAAGAACGAATAGCACCGAAGATTTCTACAGATAATAGAGTTTGGAGTTTACCGTTGTCGTCGGGTCGAAGGAGATCGAGGATTTTCCCGCGAGCGACTACGATTTCTTGGACTTTGCCTCCGGAGAAGTTGCCGTTGATGGCGCACACCAAGCCGGTGGCGCGTTGAAGGGTGAGGCTGTAGAGAAACATTGCTGAAGGGTTTCCACTTTCCCGGAGGTGCTGTGAAGGTAAAACCCTAGAACTGAAAGAAAGAGCGTCTCTGGCGTGTGAGTGGCGATATAAAAACAAAGTCCAAGATCGGGGTTTTTCCTCTAATAGATAGAAACTTGGAAACCGCCCAACCCAAACGGCGTAGTTTCGAGAAGTTAATTTTTCTTTCTTTTTCAGATTTTCAGTAAATACATATTCTTCTTTTCTTCTTATAACTTGTTTTCCTCTTTACAAAAATATAGTATATATGATGATGACTGAGATTATTATCAAAAAAAATTCAGGGGAAAAAAAGGGGGTATGAATATAATAAAATTTTGTATGTTGGTAATCAAGTAAACTGATCTTTATGGGATGGAAAGTAAAATAATGTAACTTATAAAATCATTGTTTGGAGATTGGATTATGGGACGGTAATAATATCAATGAATTTCAACCATTTAGGGGGTTAATTTTTATTTTTACAATCGAAAATTATCTTTTTTGGTGATAATTTCTCCAATGTCTACTGTCTCGGGATCCAAACTTCCTACACCTTTTGCTTTACACATCATTCAGTTGGAAATGCAATGTGGATGTGGTAGCCTTTATCTGTTTAGGTAAAAATACCACTAACTACAACTGTTTTCACAAAGTTCTCTTGTCCTAACTACTCCATATATGCTGGATCAACTCTTCAACTAAATTAGCAAATTATGTTGCTTACCTCCAATCATTCTAAATTCAACATAAAAGACACCAAAAAAAAAAAAAAAAAGCACACAAACAGCTCTCCATTATGGAAATTGGTAAGCCCTTTTCAATTTCATCAATAACCATTTCATGGTTGCTCCTCTTACTATTCTTGACATTAATCCAACCATCATTTTCAGCAAGAACATTATTAGCTAATAATGTACCACCCGACCAAACTGATCATGATCGTGCTCATCTTGCAATTAGCTTTTCCATGCCAGACGTACTACTTAGAGGTGGGCAACAAAATGATCCCTCATCAAAACCAGGAAAAACAACAAAACCGAACAGTCATAACCTTCCCTTTTCCAAACCATTAGGCTATGGTAATTTCCCTCCAACAGGAGGCGTCCCCTTCGCGAATCTCGAGCCTGATTCGCCGTCTAAAACTCTTGATTTAGATGGAATCAGCGTGTCGTTCGCGACCCTTGAGGAGTTGGAGCTCGGAACCGTGACTACAATCAACGAGAACGTGTACGGGGGATCGATTTACGGATCCTCGTTGATTGGTAAAGCGCAGGGGATGTACGTTGCTAGCTCGGAAGATGGAAACAGTCATATGATGGCAATGACCGCATGTTTCATAAGGAATGAAGATTGCTTGAGATTTTTCGGGGTGCATCGGACGGATGTTAATCACGAATCACATGTTGCAGTTATTGGCGGTTCAGGGAAATACCAGAACGCTAACGGATATGCAACGATTAAGACGGTTGATGTAAGCTCGAGTTATGCAGAGAAGAAACACAGTAACAACATGTACAAGTTGTTGTTGTTCAATGTTTATCTTGGTTGATAACATTTTTAGAGGCTTTGATCATGAAATTGTAACTTTTCAATCAATATTTAGTTTCTCCTCTGAGTCGGGTTGTCGGAACCTGTTTGATCTTTTCACATTTATGATGTTCAAGAAGCTAAATCTGGAACAGAAAGTATGATAAAAGACCAATGAAAATACATTCTTGATTGAGTTGAAGTTATAAATCGATAACTTGATCAAGCTTTTCTTAACATCTCAATCTATGGTGGACGGAGGAATGTCGAATTGAAAGAAGAAAACATTCTTGTAAAACCATAAACTAAACTGGTGCAAGTATCAGGTTGAAAGAGCATTTTGTAAACTGTTTAGTGGACAGGTTCAGATGAGCAATTTCAGTGTTGTGAGTTTGAATTGCTGTGAGCATTTGGAAGACATTCCTCATTGTTGCTTTGCCACAAAATTATGTTCAGGAATGTGCCAAATGTAGTCATTATATATTGTTTAGGCCAAATCAAGTGCGCTGATTCAGTTTAGATGATTGCTTATATTCATACAAAATCATTAAATATGATTATGTGTTTGCTGAATGGCTTCAAGGAGAGGTGTTTGATCAAATGTTAAAGCTTTTTACACTCACAAATTCAATTCTCATTCTCAACCATTCATATCGGCTGGCAAAATCAACATTCCTACTTCTATGACTCTATCAAGCCATAGGACTAATGTGACAGTTGTACCATCGATAGTATTCAAATTAATTACATTCCTAATATTTGTTAGTGGATCGAACTCTTCTTTATCTCAAAATGATTGTCTTGTTCATTAATTAAAAAAGTACAATAAAATAGAACAATTATTTCAGGACTAGAAGAGTATAATTTCTTGGACGGTTAAAATAAGATGAAAATTGGTAATTTTTTGGATTGTTAAAAATTGGACAGGGTTTATTGGAACAACCACCCATAATTCAGAGAGAGCAACGACTTGTGTTTCACTTCCAAGTTCCAACTTACTGCTGGCTATAGACACAAGATCCCAAAAGCCGGAAGATTGTAATTTAATATAGCTCGTCTTTGGACAACGAAACCACTTAAAAAAGAGACAAAACCTTCTGGCTGATTAGGTTCATAACTGCTTCAAGCATATTACTAACTCCATGTAATCAGCTCCACTTATTGCTTTATGTAGAGGTTCTTCGAAAAACCTATATATATCCATGTTGTTTTCTGTCGTTAACCATCCAGAATCAACTCTCAATCCTCAACCTCTCTCTTCTGCATTCTGAACAAGAAACTATTCCTACATACAAAATGGCAAAACATTTTCTTATCAGCTCTAAAATGCTGATCAAAACCATCATCTGCTTATTCCTTATTGCCTTTTCTTTTGATTCTGCAAGCTCAGCCAGAATCCTCGATGAGGAGAACCCTGATACACCGTTGCCCACGACGGCGCCAGTACCGGCCGATCCTGTTGAAGTGGATGATCCTGATGTAGCCCCTGCAGTCGCCCCTGACTCTACATTACCCAGTGGCCAAATCCCAGCTAACCCTGTCAACCAAGCACCACCAGCTTCCGTTCCATTACCAACAACAGGACCAGCTTCAGTTGTTCCTCCAACTGCCACCGCTGCCTCTCCTGTTACTAATCCTGTTACCGCAACAGGAGCCAACCCGGCTGCCAGCGGCGCTGGTGCTGCTGCTGGAGCCGGAGCAGGAGCAGGAGCAGCTGTAGCCGGAAATCCGGACCAAGCTACATTGTCTTTCTTTATGCATGACATTCTTGGTGGATCTCACCCTTCAGGCAGGGTTGTCACAGGAGTCATAGCCAATACTGATGCGAATGGACTACCTTTCTCCAAGCCCAACAACCAAATCTTTCCACTCAATGGAGGAGTACCACTCAACACAATCAACGGAGTCATCAACAACAACAATTTCCCCTTCCTTGTTGGTCTCAATGGTCAACAGCCAAACACCGTTCTCTCCAACAGCAATGGCGGCAACAACGTCAACACTGCCAACAACCAACCCTTTGTCACCGCAGGGCAGCTTCCTGCAGGGCTCACCCTTCAGCAGCTTATGTTTGGATCAGTCACTGTTGTCGACAACCAAATCACAGAAGGCCGAGAACTGGATTCTGCTGTCCTCGGCAGAGCTCAGGGATTTTACTTGGCCAGTTCTTTGGATGGCAGCAGCCATACATTGGCTTTAACAGCATTGTTTCATGGTGGTAATAATCAAGAAGTTGATGATGCCATTAGTTTCTTTGGAATTCATAGGACGGCTACACCAATTTCTCACCTTGCAATCATTGGGGGAACTGGGAAATATGAAAATGCAAAAGGTTATGCAACCATTGAAACTGACCTTCACCATGAAGACCAGCACACAACTGACGGTGTTGAGACCATTACTCATTTCACTGTCTACCTCACTCCATAGACTTGAGTGATAATCACCAAAAAATTCGTTCTTGAGAAGGGTTTAATTTGATGTTTCAGAATTGTCTGTTTATTCTTGATGTAACTTTGGATTGTTAATGCTGAATTATTGTTCACTTTTAAATGATGGGTTTGCAAAGAATCTCACTCTTTCTTCCTTGGATCTACATCTACTCATTCAAAATCCAGATTTTTTCTTCATTTACACAGGAGACAAGATTTCAACATCACTATGCATAAATAACAATTCTTGTTCAAGAATGGACAAAGAAACCATGAATTCATCAAATACAAGTATTCTCTATACTCTTTTAACTCACAACATCAAGCACAAGTCTTCTGCTCTGCGTGGTAGACAGTATTACTGACTCTATAAACGAAGCTTTCAATCTGCTTCATTAACCTTCACAAGTCTTCTGCTCTGCGTGGTAGACAGTATTACTGACTCTATAAACGAAGCTTTCAATCTGCTTCATTAACCTTTACCTAATCTTTACAAAATTGCACATATACAAGCTCTAAAGGGAACAGCCGAACCAATAAAAAAACAGATGTTGGGAAAAAGAAAGAACCTCCTTTATGTACTGCAAATCTCTGTTGCGAGCTCATCAAACAAAAAATCTACTATTTCCTTACAGATGATGCTAATATCCTCGTCCAACTCCAACCACTTCAGTTCACTCCCAAAAGCTTTCTCGGACGAGTCTCTTTTGGCTTCTTTTTCATGCGTGAGTTGCATCCACAACTCTTCCTCTATATCATCTTTGCTTAGGGTGGCTTTGAGTCTTTTTCTTAAAGGCTTTTCTGACAATCCAAAATCCAGATACGAATCTTGAATGGATCTCAATCCAGAGTTTATGTAGTCAAACAAAAGCCTCCTCTCTGACTTTGGCCATGATGTCTGCTTCCCATATTTTTTCTCCAATGCTTCAAATACTGAAGGGCTCAGAGGATTTTCTGTTTCATGCCACGCCTCACTCCATACATGTAAATGTAATCCAAACAATACAGCCTCATCTAAAACATCAATTAAGTAGGAAAAATCCCTACTTTCTTCAGGCCTCGATGGTCCCCATTGCTTCTGGCAATCCTCAGAGAGATCAACAGATCCCTTTTCAGTATCACCATCACTTGACACAGCCATTACAGATCCCTCAGAACTTATTTCTTCTAAAGACTCATTATTGAGAAGATTAAGTTTCATTGCAAGGCCTAGAGAAAATGAGAAAACAACAAGTCACGCCACGCTTAGATTTTATAATCAGTTTAAGACGTAATAATTATTTACTTACCTCTGAGATCCGTAAAAGAACAACTTGATTCAGAGAATTGGCCATCCTCTTCTTTTAAAGCAGGTTCCAGAACAGAATCTGGACTAGCCTGGTAATTTTCCCTCAAGTTCTTGACAGACCCCAAGTCACCCAAGTCACCAGCTGTACATGTTAAAATCAATTCTCCTTTGAAAGAATTATAAGAGGATTTCTGCATTGATCCAAAATAAAGGAATTAACTAATTAAAATACTAAGTTAAGCAGCATAAGCAACAAAATAACTAAAAGCTCCTCATTCCAGAATTCCCATTAAAAGAAATGAGCTAATAAAATTTTGAAAGGTATCTAGCTTTTGCCTTCTACATTCTATATTTTAATGCCTCCTGCCAGTAAAAGTGCGACAAACACTGAAGATCTGTGACCCTAACAGCCAAGTAAACAAATGTAAGGAGGCAATAAAAGGTGATAACAGCACAACAACATTTCGGAAAGGAAACCAACCTGATGAAAGAAGTCATCCCCAGAATCAGTCAAGCCATGGCCATTTGCCTCCTTAACCATGTAAGAATCTGATTCATCCTGGAATCCTTGGTTAACTTTTAGAGGGAGAATATCATTTCCACCTGAGTGAATAGTGTTGGAACTGAAGTTGTAGCCTGTTCCAGTTTCTTTTAGCCCGTGACATTTGCTTTGAGAAGCTTCAATGCTGCTCTCAGGATCAGGATCAGCAACAACTGAGTTTTCTTTACGTACAGGACTTGGTAGATTTCTAATATACTCATTTGTTGAAATAACTTTGCTTCTGTGGAACATACTAATACATAACTCTGAATTGTCCTTTGGACTGCTAAAGGATTCACTTGAGCTTATTGTTTCTAGCTTTGCACCATCATGCACAGCAAACATTTGACCAGATGTAATTCTCCTACCTGGCACTGCAAGTTCTCCACTGTATTTAGCAGCCTTCCATCGTTCAAAAATATTAGAATTTGCTACCCGTGAATATGAAGAGCCATTAAGAACTTGATTTGAGATTTTCTGTCTTTTTCTCAAGTTAAAAAAACCCTGACAAGGAGTTATTGAAGCTTCAGATAAATGCACAGAAGGGACCTTGACGATACTTCTTGTTCGTGATGAACCCCTAAGATTAATTCTGGCTTCCATTGATTCCTCCAGGGCAGCTTTTTTATCAACCAATCTGATATCCCCTACCAGGTCCCTGCTTTTATTTTCATTTAGTATTATTTTTCTTGCAGGCTTTAAGCAAGACTCGTGCTCCATATAATCTCCATTACTACCCTGATGAAGTGCATCACTGCCAATAAATAAACTCCTTCCATATGGATGCACATTTCTAGAATTAGGATTGAGCACAACTATCTTTGACAAGTTGCTTGCCTTATCTTTCAATTCTGAAGGAGTTCTCGATAAGTCACCCAGATCAGCACCTGATTCTCCAGAATGATCCCCAAATTTCTGAGCAGATTTCAAGACCACCCTCTTTGATGACATCTTGCTGGAGGTCCTGGACAGTTCATTAACTCTTTAGTTCAAGGGATAAAAGTAAGCAGAATGTTGATGTCACTGATGAGACTGGAGATACTGTAATATAAGATTTGACAAAATATTACCTGGCTTCAAGGAGATGTTTCGGCACATCTTTAGGTTGATCTGCATGAAAATTCTGCAAATCAATGGGATATGCATCTGAACCATTTGCTATTTTCTGCCTTGCAAAACCAAGCCGTGCTAGTACTGTACTTTGATTTGGTTTTACATCAAACACTTGCTTGTTATCATGCTGTTTGCCTTCACTTCCACTAGGCAAGTGGTTCAGATGGACAGAGCTATGATGTTTGCCTCCAGTTCCACTAAGCGAGTGGTTCAGATGAACTGAGCTCTTCTCTAACATTGCAATAGAAGCAATTTTGCGAAGATAGTCCTCAGAAAACACTTTAACAGGTCTGGGAGCCACATGTTGAGGCCGAAGTTCATCAAAACCCATCAACTTTGCTATGACACTGGGTGTAGTTTGCTTGCTTTCCATCTTTCACGACATTCCACTAGTTTAAGACTTTAGTGAGGATTCAGATGATAAACTGCAGGTAAAAGGGCAAGCTACATATATCAGAGTCATCTCAGCGATAGGCAAAGTACCAAAGTAACTAGTGCCCAAATCAAATCACAGGCCAAAAGTAATTTGTAACAATATCAACAGCATTTGACTAAGCAAGATAATATATGAATACTCAGCAATGGATCAAAAAAAACCCAGCATAATGTTTCACTATATCAAGAAAAAAGCAAGAACAAGAGAGTTGATAGGAGATAGCCCTGGATTACCAAGATTGCCTATTTTTCAACCCACAAAATCTGTTCACAGTCATATAACCATTACAAAAAAAAGTACATACTGCAGCATTCTGCACAAAACATCCCACCGTTGAAATAAAAAAAAACTTAACTAGATTGCCATACACAAGTATTCACAAAATCTTCTACAAGATGCACCAGGCAAACAGCAGAATTAATGATAAACATCTAGACCTCAAAGAGCTTCTGTATCAAGAATATGAAACATAAGAAAAAATCATCTCCAAACAACAATAGGTAATCCTAAAGCTGAAATTTGAACTAAGAACAGTGGCTAAATTTTAGTTGGTGGACTGAGATTTAAATTTGATTTATATGGTGAAAAATCATGGTCCCAAGGAAAGAACATATGAGCACTAAGAACATAAAAGCACTGAAATGAAAACACCATATAAAGGGGAAAGAAGCACAAACCAATAAGCAAGATTAGATTATGTACAACAAAATAAAAATGGTCCGATAATGTCAATTTGCCATGAGTAAAAGGGAAACATCCTCGAGTACGTATGGCCATATTAACTCCAACAATTATTACAACCAACCAGAAGAAAATCGAATTTGTCAAAAGATATCAGACCACCATCAAGATCACTGTCATCATGAGGTCAACAGTACACATAATCACAAGTAAAAAGAAAAGAGCATAAATCACAAACTATGATCGCAGAACAGAGTAGCTCAAAAGCAAACATAATTATCCCTAATCACTATATTCAACGGGAATAACCAATTTTGTGAACAAGTTCCATTTCATGCGCTCTTAAGTTCCCGGGAACTGGAAACAAAATAATTACCCATCTTTAAAAGATAATACTCGAAACCCAGTACGGAGAAGTAGAACCCACTACATGAAAACCGAAAAATCAGAATCCAAATAAAGCCAAAAAGAAAACGGAAAGGGAATAGTACCTGCTTTGAAATTTGAAGGATTTCCTTCTGCAAGTGGGCTTGCAATATGAATCCAATATCTTCATGAAATGATTATTCCATGAAGAATATTGATTAGTGATTCAAATTCAAGAAAGAAGACAAACCCGCCTCCAAATAACTGGAAGCGAATCGCAAGAAATCTGGAAAGTTTACTGCCCAGGATACGCTATATCTGGGTCAATTATTTGCGCCACAATAGTAACAAAAATCGTATAATTGGGCAGTCAAATAATCATATTTTGAAGAGGAATTGCGATCAATGGAGCGTTGAGTACTGCCGGAAAAGACAAATAACTTACTATTAATATAATCGTAAGCAAATTCTTGCAAGAAATTACCCCTTAAAAAAATATTATTGTGTCTGCAGATACTGTGCCAAAGCTTTTTTTTTTTTTTTTAATGGTTTTGGTTCCATTTGGAAATTTGGATGGGTGATTAGACGGAAGTGTTTATTTTTTGAAACGATGCATTCTACGCGCAACCGACATTAATGTGGTCAACGCGAAATTTGCGCCAAAATATGGACAGTTGATTTTCGCTCAAAAATTCGCCTTCCTTTGGCTTTTGTACTAAAAATACTAAATCGACATTCTTTGTCTTTAGATCTTTCCTTTTATTAATTTCATTTTCTATTTTACGACATTTGCTTCATTGAACTATCTTACATTTTGGAAAGTATGACTAATGTAATGAAAATTTATGGGTATTTTGACCAATAAAAAAATAAAAAAAAAATTATAAGTCCACAAATCATCTTCTTCTATACATTTTTGCACAATAGAAAGATTAAGTTGAAACATTTGTTTAATGTGTGGTTTTTTGTTATAAAAATGTAAGAGTGTATTTAGATTGTAAAAAGTAAAATAAAAATGGAGTAACATGTGAAAAAAACAACATTCCTATATGTAGTTTGTAGCAATCTTTCTTTGTCCCAACTCCCAAAGCCTTTTTTTTTTTTTCATGTCAGTGGAGTGGATGTAGAAGAATGTACTCCTTCCGTCTCATAATTATTATTAAGTTTAGGTTTCCATTTCTAATTTAAATTGTACTAAAAGTGAAATCTCAAATTGGATAATAATTTTAGGACGGAGTTTGGACATATAAATTTGGATTTTGATACGGCCGGTTTGGGATGAAACAGAAATGGTATATTCGAAATGGCGCTGTGTTACGCGCGCAAATTTTTTGTCACGTGACTTGCATGGTGAAACCGGTTTACTCTTATTGGGGAAAAATTGAGAGAATGACGCGAAATGAAGTTGGTGGGGCCGCTGGAAGGAAAAGGCGGCGAAGGCGGCTACTTCTTTTCCTTGGCTGATTTTGCCCGCCACATTTCCGAGGGTTTCCTTCGTAATTTTCCTACTTGTACTAATAATAAATTTTATCCCCGAAATTTTGTTTAGTTTCATAACCCAAAAAAAAAAAAAAAAAGAGGTTGGTCAACTAAAATTGTCTTTGGGCATTTAACAATGGAGTTATCTGTTGACTTACGTAGCTCTGAAAAGTTTACATAAATGTAGCTCAACCATAGGAAAATTGAGAAGCATATAGTATATAATTGTGATGCAGCGGCCGAGGGGGTAACTCATCCTATTTAATTTGCTATCAAACACTTGTTTCGGTCCTTTTTTCCCGTTAGAGCTGCAACATAAAAAGGTTTTTCTTTTTCTTTTTATATAGGCCGTTACAAAAATTATGTTGAATATAAAAGTTACGATACGTCAAAACAAGTTAAATCACGTGATGTGAGATGAGAAATGAGTTATTTAAGTGAGATTCTTATCATTATTGTTCAATGACATGAACTTTGAATAGGAGAAGGAAAAATTGTAGAACCGTTGTGCAAATGTCGCGAGTTGAATAGAAATTCTTGTGTCTTAAAAATTAATCCATTTTAATTCAATAAAATAAATTACTTCGGTAAAACGGATCAACGGGAGCAAGTACTATTTAGAGGAGTGGAAAATTTCTCATTGTTCTCGGTAGATCAGGCCGAAGCAACAAAGCAAAAACACCCACCCCCCACCCACCGACGACCTATCACCCGCTTATGGGATCCCCAGTTTTCAACCGTTGATAAACTAGTCAACGTTGAAGAAGCAAACTATTTAAGTTAGAATACTTCTTTTTATCCCAACATTATTATTATTTTAAATTTTTATTTTAATATATTGCACTAAAAGTGAAATCTCAAATTAAAATATAATTTAAAGACAAAAAAAAATACTTCTCACTCCCCAAAAAAAATCTAATTTGAAAGACTAAAATATAAAAATTATATTACTAAATCTTGTAAATTAAAAAGTTAATATGAAAAAATGAATAAAGTTTTATGACTATTTATCAATTTAATAATCAATTTTAGGTTATAATGATCTTGTAACTTTAATTTAAGATTTACATTTCTAAAATTAGACTATTTTTGTGGGACGGAGGTAGTACAACAAAATGAACTATTGATCATATAGAACAGGAGTGTATGTTTTGCGCAGTGAGTCTTGGCTGCTAGATTGCCCGGTGATCAACATACAGTGTCTCTATCAAAGAAAGAATGTTTTCATTCTATATAGTTGGAAATTACGCATCAAACTTAGATATATATATATATATATATATATATATATGTTTAAAATACTCGGGGGAATCTACTTTACCTTAATGATTAATTTTGAATTGATCCCTCTCTAAAGTGAGAATCCTACTTTACTGAAGGTTCCCCTGTCCCCATTCATTCCAAGCGATGTAGAAATGAACGGTGATGAAGCTTTTCTTTTGCATCCCTTCTATAGAACTTTTACTTGGCGATACATATAAATTGAAACTATGAAACGAATCCAAATTTTCAGTTTGGAATTTTATCTTGTATTTTTCTTTTTTATCCTCTCCTTTACGGGTGTTCAGATACAATTTGTGTATTAGGCACACTTTGTATGCTGTTGTGGCTTCACTTTTGTGTGATGGTAACAAAAATTATAATGGAATGTTATTAAAAATAAAAAAACCTACTTTTTATTTTTTTCGACACATCTATTCATTTCCAACTTTAACCCTCATAATGTTCGAAGCATCAACAATCTCACTTGACCATCCTACTGTTTGAGAACCTCTATAGTCTAGTTGCTAATGAATATTTGTAGTTGGAATATACTCCATCCATCTTGTACAAATAGTGTAAATTCTACCATTTTTTTTAGTATACTCAAAAATTTATCATGTTGACTATTTTTGTGAAATTAAAAAAAAAAACAAAAAAGTAAAGTCCTAGTTAGCTTTTCTTTCTTTTTTTTTTTTTGGTCCAGAAAATTATATTCCTATCCGTTCTTTCCATTTTTTGATAATCTTGTGTGTGTTTCTATATTCATTAATTGTAGTACTCATAACAATGTCAAGGAATTCATTCATTGTGTCTAAGTAGGACCTCTTGATATAATTGTCATCAACAGTTTCTAAATACGGCACATTACACATTGTTTAAATCAGATTCATATCACACTCAAACTAATCTATACAGATATACAGTGTATGCAAAATTGTCCACAATCATGCCATCATGTGATATATGCAAAGACCAAACATTCAGACCACTTGTTGAAGGAGTATAGATTAGTTTGAGCATGGAACAGGCCCCATGAACAACGCGGGTTCATGCATGTATGTAGCAGGCCCCATGAGAAACCCTGATTTATGCTAAACTTGATACTTCATCATCAGCAGCTATAAAAGCTCTAAACTCCTTCCCCCCTTTCTTGCTCACCCTTAAATAATAAACCTGATCAGTTCATTTGCTCTGGTTTTACTTTGCACTAAAAAAAAATCATGTCAGCCCAGCTGAGGAAACTAGTGTCCTCAACTGAAATAAAGCTGGATGGAAAACTGATTCATGAAATCCTAACACACAAACCGTACTGCATGACTAGTACGAGCCCCAAGTTCATTCAGGGCGTTGAATTGCTTGATGATCGCGAGTGGGGCAAAGTTGGATCCGTCAGGCTCTGGAAATTTATTAGCCAGGGTAAGTCAATTCCCCATCAACACAATTCCAAGCACTGCTAATCTTTTCTCTGGATTTATATGATTTTTTTTTTCAGGACGAGAGAGTAATACAACAGTGTCGAACAAAAAAATACGCATTGTTAGATTGTGGAATTTGTTTTGTTTTATACTGATATATATTAATTTCAATATGGAAATTCATAGATGGAAAGACGTCGGTCGCCAAAGACATAATTGAGGCCGTTGATGACGCAAATAAATCAGTCACATTTAGGATGATTGAAGGAGATATATTGATGGTGTACAACACCTTTGCCATAACTTACAATTTTGACAAAGTTGGGGGGAGCAACTTGGTCACTTGTACATTTGAGTATGAAAAGAAAGATGACAACATCCCAGATCCCCATTCGTTTATGGATGTCTGCCTTAATGGGATTAAGGATATTGAGGCCTATCACCTCAACTGAAATCAGTATGCATCGAGATGATATGATGGTAATCAAGATACTTAATTATCTTTATTGTGTAGATTAAGGGTGACGTTAAAAATACTGTATTATGAATAAAATATCTGCTTCGTGCATTTTACACACTTTGCATCATCCTTCTTTATTACCAGTAAAACTAGTACCAGGGACGGAACTGGGGAGCAAAGGGGTCCGTCGACCCTGCGGGTGGCAAGTTTTTTTGAAAATAGACCGTAATTTTTCTGAAAAAAAAAAATGCTAAATGCACTCATCTTGTAAATGTTCGAGGCTAGTTTCGTCACTGATTAGTAGGTACCTATGGGTTTACCATGTCGACACATATGGTTTTGGTGACATGGACAATTGAGTATGAAAAGGTAAATGGAATCCCGGAATGCGTTGATGGACTCGTATTATTCGTCTATATGAATGAGTTAGACAGTGAGAATAAAGATGATGTTGAATGCATGAAGGGTTGATGGTTTAATCGGAAAAAACAATTGCCACAAATGGCGCGAAAGTCAGAAGTTACGTTTAGTACGATTTGAGATATACACATTTCGTATTCTATCTGTTGATGGGAAAAACTTGGTGATGTGGACATTAGAAATCTGTTGGTGATGATGCTATAGGTTTATGGATTTAGTAATCATATTTAAGTAAAATAAAAAATTAAAAAAAATGAAATCAACGGACAAGATGATCTAATTATTAGCCCAAAATCTCAATGTTTTCTACAGTTTTTATTCCAAAAATAAATAAAAAAAAATCTCAATGTTTATAACAGTTTAAGTGGTGAATAAATGGAAATTATTACTAGTACTAAATATCAAGGGGGAAAAAACCCTGTCAAATTGAAGCATGAAAATTGAGAGTCTTTAAAAGTCAGCATCTTCTTCTTCACCTTCTCGAGCAGCCAGCGATTTCGGTGCTCGTTGACTGGGTGTTTTCAGCCCATCATAATTAGGGGTTTCAAAATCGAATTTATGTAAATCCTGGTAATCTGTGTGAAGTTACATTTCATTCATTCACCTTGTAAAGTTTGTCAATGCATTGTGGGCGTGTAGTCTGCAGTCCCAAATCTGACCCATCAATATGTTCCCTCTTGGACTGAACAAGACTACAGGACACTATGTGTATCGATCAGTGATTTAACGGTAAAGCCCAAATGAAAAAGCTTTTGTATTCAAAAAAAAAAAAAGAAAAATGTAATGTATACAAGATTGATGAAAATATTCCGGGAAAATGTACCAACTGCATGGCTACATGTATTTTGAATTCTTTTCAAAGATCTTATCCTTTTTTATCCACAAAAATATGCACAACCCAATAGTAAACATTTTTTTATTCCAAACTTCGCCTTTTATCACACGCACAAGAAAAAGTTTTTATGTTCGGAAAATAATTGTGATGTAACATTTTCAGTTCAAATCTTGTGAACGAAGGAAAAAGGAATAATAGGGGGGGGGGGGGAACTAACAAGTTTTACACCAATATGAATATTGGACATGTGTATCTGATCGTCATTGTTGTAACTTGTAAAAATTAAATTAAATAATCAGTGAAGGATGCTATCAAAATACAACTGGAAATGAAAAGGAAATCAAAAATTGAAAGCCAACTTGTTCAACGTGCCTAGCATATGTATAGCAGGCCCAATCAAATCCTAATCCAGTTACTTTTAGTTCCATCTTTCTAATTGTTGAGATTATTGTAAAATTATACCAAATCTTCTTCTACTATAAAAGACCGTAGTCGTCCCTTCTTTATTTTGCGCAACTTATTCAGTTCAATTATACATCTTGTTGCTGGCTTGGCTTGATTGCTTAATTAGCAGCCCAAAATGTCAACCCCAATGAAGACGATGACCTCCTCGATTGAAATAAATCTGGATGGAGATGTTTTGCACGAAATCTTCAGAGACAGACCACATAACTTAGCTACTATTTGCCCAAGCTTTGTTGAGGGATTTGAGTTGCATGATGGTGAGTGGGGGAAAGCGGGAACAGTTTTCTTCTTCAAATTTAATCATGGTACGTAAGTCATCCATTTTCTCCATCAACATTTTTTTTTTCGAGTTTTCTTCTTCCCACTTCGGAATTTATGCGAAAGGTTTAAATTCCAGTTCTATTTTGTAAAGTTGTTTTTTTTTTTTTTTTTTTGTCTTCAATTAGTAGCTGCGCGCTAGCGGTGTTGATGATAATGTTCAAAAACATTCAACATGCCTCGTTCACTAATCTATTCTGTACAAGTGATTTTAGAGCCAAAAAAAATTTAACCAGTGCAAAACACCTCTTAATCCCTGTACCCTAACCAAGTACCTTAGTATGATGAAGTAAATATTATTTTCTGATCGACAAACATATATACATGTTGCGCGAATGCATATGTTTGTATATTAATTACTACTCCCTCCGTCCCAGAAAAATAGTCTACTTTGAGTTTTCAAATTTATACTGAAACTAATACAAATCTCAAAACTCAATGTGGACTATTTTTTGGGACGGAACTAGTATATGGTAAGAATATTAATTATATATTTTGTGTTTAGGTATTTCGTAGCATATGAACTACTGTAGTCTTAATTAACTAGGAATACGTAGTTTAGAGCAAAATTAATTGTGTACATATTGTTGGTTCGTTAAGTAATTCATCTATATATTTTGTTAACCTGAATTATAGATGGACAGAAGCTAACTGCGAAAGAGGTAGTTGAGGCCATTGATGATGCAAAGAAATCAATGACAACAAGAGTGATTGAAGGAGATATATTGGCACTGTACAAGACCTTTGTCATAAGTTACGAGGTGGATCAAGTTGGTGAGAACAAACACTTGGTTACATGGACATTCCAGTATGAGAAAGTAAATGAGAGCATCCCAGAACCTGATTCGCTCATGGACTTCTGCCTTAATGCGACTAAGGAAATTGAGGCTTATCACCTCAAATGAAATCGAACCACGAGGAACTGTGATATTGATCAAGTAATTAATTATCTTTATCTTATAGTGTGAATAAATTTGCTTGTTGGTTGATACTATGGCTCTTGTTTTGTATCATCTGGATTTAGGAAAAGGAAGAATATGATAATGGAAGAAAAAAAATTGAAAAAGAAAATGATGCGATGAAGAATGTGACATTTATATTTGTTTGATAAGGTGATGGTGTACTCGGTAAAATAATTGGATAAATAGCATAAAAAGTCAGAAGTTCTATTATACAATGCTTGAACTTAATTTTAAATTTGTCGAAATCAGATTTGTTCCGTGTTAAAGTTGTAATAAGTATAATTTGCAATATGACTACAAGATGTCAATAGAAAAATATACTCCCTCTGTCCCATAATTATTGTCCAGTTTGGATTCTCATTTTTAGTATAATTTATACTAAAAATGAAAACTCAAAGTGAACAATAATTTTGGGACGGAGGAAGTATGTTTGACTGTGGATGTGTTTATTATTTACTCTAATATTCCCACAAAATAAACTTACATTGCAGTTTGTGAATAGTATTAGTTCTTTCGGTTTTATTAGCCTTACACTTCTATCAAATAACGCTTGAGTTTTGAACGGTCATTTCAAGATGAAAGTAATATATATATAAATATTTCCTGATATTCGCAGATAATAATTTTCAATAATCCAGTAACTTATGATTTCTTTAGTCTACACAATCTCTTAGTCAACACTTCTTTTTTACCCAAAAAAAAGGCAATTGTCAACCGCTGTTTGATAAAGTCACTTAATACTTGAAATTATTTGATTAATTACTTTTCCAATTCATCCCAGTTGTCCAAGACATTCAGCAACGTTTACAGAGATTTTCTAATCTTAGTCTATTTTGGATCAATAGATTAGAGAATTTGATAACACATCAAATTGCTGATTATGTTAAGTCTTGTTCGTCTCCTCTAAACTGGTTATCATTCAGTGCTGGCTGATTTCGTTATCTATATAATCATTACTTCAAAAAAAAAAATTACTTTTTCATTTCAATATATTTAATTAAGTAATTTTATTTAATTAAATATTTAGAATTAAACATTAATTTTTATCAAATAGGCCCACGTACACTTACATGAGTCTCTTGGTCAGCGCTTTGATATACGCCTGAGCTCGTCATCCCCCCTACCCTATGTAATTAACACAAATCTTTATTCAACATCGATATCCATACTGATTTGCGTAACCTAAACCCACAATTTTGATGCACTTTTTGATTAGTTTAATCTTTTTTTGTTGGTATATTACATAAGTCTAAAGTCTTAACTTAGTTTAATCTTCAGCAAATACCATAGTTGAATTTTCAAGTTTTCACTGAGCCTTCCAAAGTTAATAAACCATAATTAAAATTTTATCTGCAAAAAAGTGATAACTAGAATCTACTTTACCTTAATGATCAATGAATGGATCCCTATTATTTTGGTGGAGATCCCACTCACTCATAAAATTTGTATAGAAATGAATGGTAACGAGGCTTTTCTTTTCTCTTTCACTTTGCGATGGCTGTAAACAAATTGAACGAATCCGATTCGGTTGTTCCAGTTTTATTTTCCTCCATTTTTTAAAATTAAGATTTAAAGTTTAAACTATCACTTATATCCTTAAATGCATAAACTCGAAATAAAAAATATAAAATTCAGTATTTGTGATTTAATCCAGATTTTCCCTCCATTAATTATCCCCTGCACATATCAATATTATATTTTAAAACACCGCTATGCTACACCACACTCTCAAATATTGTCTGTGTTACTAAAAAATAAAAAATAAAAATGATTAACTACGGTAAACGAAAATAATGTAATGAAACGGATTGTTTTTTTTTTGGGACTAAACGAATACATTAGTAGGATTCGATTGAAAAGGCGCATGATTATTAATTATTATGCATGGTGCACTAACTTAATCGGATCTTTACACGATAAACGAAAGAACCCATTTACCATTGGTCATTCGAGAGATGGTATCTAGCTACTGATCATTTACTCTTAACTATAAAAGCCCTTCAATCATCTATATACATTCTTGTGTCCTTTGCTCCACTTAGTACCGCGTGGAAAACAAAAGAAAAATGTCAGCCCAGTTGAAGAAAATTTCGTCTTCGGTTGAAGTGAAGGCGGATGGAAATGTTTTTCATGAAATCGGCAGAGATGGATTGTACCGCTTGCCTACTATATGTCCGAGGTATGTTGAAGGCGTGGTTTTGCATGAAGGTGAGTGGGGGAAAGTTGGATATGTCATCATCGTCACCTATAATCTTGGTGAGTGAAATTTTCTTTAATTCGATTCCTTTCTAATTAATTATAACCAAGTTATATACTCACTCTGTCCTAAAATTATTGTCCAACTTGAGATTTTATTTTTAGTATAATTTAAATTAAAAACAAAAACTCAAACTGGACAATAATTTCGGAACAGAAGAGTACTATATATAGCGTTTCTTTTTGTTATTTTGTGCTGACTTTTGTGTAGATGGAAGGAAAATAGTGATGAAAAACAAAGTTGAGGCCATTGACGATGCAAAGAGATCAAGCAGATATAGGGCGATGGACGGAGAACTTCTGGCAATGTACAAGACCTTTGCCATTACTTACCAAGTCGATACGGATGGTGAGGGTGGGAAAAGTTTGGTGACGTGGACAATTGAGTATGAGAAGATAAATGAGAGCATCCCGGATCCCAATGCGATGATGGAACTCTGCATCAATGCTACAAGGAATTTTGAGAGCTATCAGCTCAACATGAATTGATCTGATCAAGAAGATTTTGCTTTGCTTTATGTTGTTGAAGCTCAAGCTACAATAATAATAATAATAATGTTAAAAAAAGTGTGAATAAAAAGGGCCGTACTGGACTAGTGGTTGTTGGGGAGGCTTGAATTAATCCATGAGAGAGCTTAAGGCAGCTTTTAAGGAAGTGTTGCTTAATGTATTCAAGCCCTTCCCTCGTTATTTAGTTCAGGGCCCATCACCTAAAACGCCCAAAGAGTGTCAGTTGGTTTGGGCTCGATCCCGTCCATTTGTACACTTGTCGTGGGTTTTTAAACTGTAACAAGTAATTATATGTGTGCTGGTTTTGTTTGTTTTGTTTTTTGGTAGGCTCCTTTTTCATAATAATAAAATTAATAAATGTTTCATCTCAGCATATTTTTTTACATTCTAAACACAAAAAATACACATTAAAAAACGATCCAAACATAGCCGGTACCAATGTGTATGTATAATAATTAATTTACATAGCTTTCCACCAATGACCAAGACAAATGTAGTGAGTAGTAGCAAAAGGGTTGATAAAAATGATAGATGTTGTGTTCTGTTCACAACGCGATTCTGATTCCAGATAACTGATCACACAGTGTTTGAAAACTCTCATGGCCGATAGATCCGATACTGAAAATGCCACGACCTCTTGTTTAAGTAGACGGTCATACCTTCTTTGAAAAGCTCTTTTTAGGATTAAGAAATGCTTAAGAAACCAGGCAAAAAAAGAATAATCAAGACGCCACTCTCTAACAGATGATAAAATAAGACTTAAAACCAAATAATAATAGAGTAATGGGTTTAAATTCAACCCACCAAAAATGATGAAAAAAAAAACCTAGATGAAAATCAGAAGTCGTGAGTGGTAGTAGTCACGCCTTTGTTTCGTTACACAAGATGTACTACCAAAATCGGATGATGCAATAATGCAAAAAGTAGTGTTGTTCTGCTACACAGTGCACACAATCTGTCACCTCTGAAAAAACTGCTTTATTTATTGTATTCAGTATTATTACTCTTTTTTCTCCTCTAAAAATAGAGAAGAGAAGAGAGAGAGAAAAAGAGAATAGAGTTGTTGGGCAGTTGCTGATTCTGACAGTGGGGACGACGTCTCGGGCGTCAATTTCCATAATTCCACCATAGCCCCCAAAAAAAGCCCCCATTGTCCCTGAGCTTTTAAGAAAAAAACCAAACCCCCATTCATTCAGTAACAAAAAAGCCATCTCTGAGAGCCCACTCATTCATCAACCGAAAATGCATTCGTGAATTAAAAAGGGTAAATGGGCAATGCACGACTTTAATGCATTTTTCCTCTGTTCATGTCTACTCTGCTTACTGCAAAACCCCAGTTCCCTTTTGTCCCCACTTTCATCTGAACAAATAGGTTTTTCATCATCTGGAATTTCTCATTGATTTCTTCCCGATTTCGAAATCTTTTTCCTTCTGTTCTTAGCGTGGAATTTTGTTGGTTTCATTTTCTGTTTTGCTTATTTTCTTGCAAAGGTTTTGTTTCCGTGGCTTTTTTTTGTTTGTACTCGTTGGGGCATAGAATCGAACAGTTACTTCTTCTTCTTTTTTTGGTTCCGTTGATTCTGTGCTTGTTTGTGCGGTTTTAGTTTCAGTCTTTGTTTGTTGTCTTCCTCGAGTGAACCTGTTGTATTCGTGTATGCAGGGGGCTAACGCCGCACCAGAGCTTTTGCATGTTTTGTTGATGCTACCTGTTCTTTTAAGTGCACAAAATGGAGATGATGACTAGTAATTCCCAGCTGTTGGAGGTTACCCTCGCGGATATCCTTCGTGTGGTCCATCCTTTGAAGGAGGATTGGACTGCGAGATTCTTTATCATTCAGGAGCTCCAAAAGGTTGTTCAATCCATTGAGAGTCTCAGAGGTATTTTCTGCTTCCTTCCCCTAATTCTTTGACTTCTGATTCTGTAAATTAGTGGTAACCCTTCTACAAGTACGTATGATGGTGACGATTAAAGCTTGGCCTTACAAGACAGAAAAGTAATTTGAGCTGTAAAATTGTTTTACTCTGCCTAAATTTTGGTGATATATTTTTTTATGTTATGGTGCCAATACTGCAAATGCTCTACGTTTTAATTCTTGATTGTTCCAGTGAGGCGATGTCATGGTGTTGTCTTTGTTTGAAAATATCCTCGGTCTAATCAAGTGACCACAGCAGCCAGTGTGTGTAGGGTGGTTGTCACTATACACATTGGCTGAATACATAATCAGTACAAAAACTCCAGCTTATTGCTTTGGATGAGCATGCTAAACAGAACTGCATCTGTAGTTTAGGAGTTTGATTTTTCATTTAATCTTGAAATATGCTATATATGACTGCTTATTTGGCGTTTCAGGGGCAACTGTTGAGCCATTTGGGTCTTTTGTTTCTAATCTCTTCACTAGATGGGGAGATTTAGATATCTCAATTGAGGTACCCAATGGGTCCTATATCTCGTGTCCTGCAAAGAAACACAAGCTGGCTTTGCTTACAGATCTTATCAAAGCATTGAGAAAGAGAGGTAACCTGGTTAATTTTCCTTGGTTCAGTTGTTTTTTTACTTTATAGGTAGGGTAATTAAGAATTATAAACTTTGCTTGCAAGATCATTCCTATGCAAAAAGTTATAAATCAAGGGATTGAGAAAGAGAGGTAACCTGGTCAATTTTCCTTGGTTCAGTTGTTTTTCAGTTTTATAGGTATGGTAATTAAGAATTATAGACATTGCTTGCAAGATCATTGGAAACCTTTCTGAACTGGTAAAAGTTGTTACTGATCATTCTTATAAATGTAGCTGAAACTTTGTAATCTCTTGCAGTGTAATCATTACAATGGTGTAAATTATTGTGGAAAATTCCTTTGCTCTATGCTTCATCCCATCCATTCTAGAATAAATCAATTGCGGACAAATGGCTTCATATGAAAATCCTAAGTAACATCCATGCAAATTACTCAGTTTATTCGGAAAGAATTTTGTTTCTGTTTCTTGGCCAGCCAAATAAATATCCATCCCACTAATGCTTCTATTAATAGAACTGTTTGTATGCCGGATGAGTGATGATTGATTCAAAAGATGTTATTCATTTTCAATTTTGAGTTTATTGTCAAGGATTTCTGTCAAGGCGTGACTGGGTACTTAGTGTTTATATTATACCATACCAAATGTTTTCAGCCTACCCCATCTCTAGGCTTCCTAGAGGAAGCAATTAGGAGACCAGAACCTGGGGGGGGGGGAGTTAGATTTGAATCTCAGCTTTTTTCTTTTTCTGCTTTCATATGATTGCCACCAACAATTCAGTGGAATGGAGCACAGAAATCTGTCGCTCCAATAGATACATTGTTTTGTAAATTCGACTAGCATTTTCATTAACTCAAGTTCGAGTAGAAAAGGAAAGTAACTTGACTTTCTTGATGACTTGATGGTCAGTGGGTAAGTTGCAAATTTGTTTTCTACAATGATTTCACCTAATGATGTGGGTCAAAGAAACAATCTGAAGTCTAGAATTAGGAAAGAGGTAAGGTCAGGGTTGTTATTTTTGTTTTGATGCTTATATCAGTCCTTGGTTTGACTTTCAGGTGGATGGCGTAACCTTCATTTCATTCAGAATGCAAGAATTCCAATTTTGAAGTTTGAGACCCATCAAAACATCTCTTGTGACGTCTCCATCAACAATTTGAGTGGCCAAATGAAGTCTAAAATGTTGTTTTGGCTGAACGAAATTGATGGACGTTTTCGCGATGTCGTTTTACTGGTATGTCTGACACCATATTCCTGCTATGTAAAAAGGGGCATAAATGGCCATCTTCTGATGTAGTCAATCCTTCTCTGTAGGTGAAGGAATGGGCAAAAGCACATGGTGTTAATGAACCGAAGTCTGGAACGCTGAACTCTTATTCCCTCAGCTTGCTTGTTGTGTTCCATTTCCAGGTAAACTCCCCAAGGGAAAAAAAAGAAAGAAGAAAAGAAAAAGGAAAACAAGTTCCTATTTGTTGCAATTAGAGTCAGAGCAGAGGTGAATCTTAGATTGTAGTATAGTGAAGCTCTTTTGCTTTCACTTGTTTCTCAGTCACATGAATGCCTGGACAACTGATGTAGGCCATTGAAACTTCGTTGCATTCTGTTGTTTATGCATTCTTAGGGTGGATGAATTGATGATATTCTCTTGCATTTCAAGACATGTTTTTCTCAAAGAAGAACTTTTCTCTTCAGATGTGGAGGAAAATCTTCACTTTTTCTTGTCTTTCTAATCTTTTGCAGACATGCGAACCTGCACTCTTCCCTCCTCTTAAAGACATATATCCAGGAAATATGGTTGATGACCTTGTAGGTACATATAAAGTTATCATTTGTTATTATGCTATTATGTTGCTGTCACTTATCTGTGGTTGAACCCTACTTTTCAACTGATATAAGTGTGGTCGGACAATTTCTCATCCAGAATATCGACTTTCTTTCACAGGTGTGAGGACTCTGGCTGAGAAAAAAATTCAAGATGCGTTTGCTGTCGGCATAAATGGATACAAATCGGATAAGACAAGAGGGATAAATCGAAGTTCTTTGTCTGAGCTCTTCATCTCGTTTCTTCACAAGGTAATGAAGTGCCTTTTCTTGGGAAGATTATCACTAGGGTGTAATGAGATTGGACGTAATACTTTTCCAACTCCCATTAAAGCATAAAGGTACCTTTAATATTGATTAAAGTTCTTCCATTCCTGTTCCAACCCTTCCTCAATGCCACACTTTGTTTGATTGGCCTCTTTCTCAACTCACCTTCTGAAAACTGACCAACCTCCATTTGCTTCTAGACTTTCCAAATTCAACCAATTTACCATCTTGACTGATATTATGTTCAAGCATAATGATGTCTCTACTTTTGAATCTTTATGCACATGGCATTCACTCGGTGATTAAAGTATGAAGTGTTAACTTTAGTTTTATTGATAAGCAGTGAGTGATTAACAAACACTGCAAAGTAGAAATGAACATTATTGCTCTGTTTTGCACCTCTTTAGTTTATATATATATTATATATTACCGTGACCGGGAAATCAAAATTAGTATATTTAATGATAGTTCACTGGTGGGAGGATAACTTATTCTAGAACCTTGTAAAGTTCTGAAACCAATGCCAGAACCAAACCAACTAGCTGTTTTATATTTATTCAATTTTCTATTGATTTCAGATCTACTTCTGGTTTGATTCAGTTCTAATTCTAGTATTCTGGTAGGAAAAGATATACATACATATATATATATATATATATATGATATAAAATTTAATGAGAACTACAAGAGTTCTTGGGAAAGATTTGAAAGTTCATTTTGTCCTTCAGAAGCAGATGCATGATAATGGATTAGTTGTCATTGAATATTATTTAAAAGATGTGATTGCAGTAAGTCAGATTGAAGGGTAATGGCATTCTCTGACTCTTTACGTCTTCCAGTTTTGTGACCTTAGTTCTAGGGCTCAAACTCAAGGAATCAACATATTTACTGGAAGCTGGGAAGATATCAGTACCAACATGAGATGGCTACCCAGAACTTACACCCTCTGTGTAATCTCTCTCTCTCTCTCTCTCTCTCTCTCTCTCCATAAAAACACACACGCCCACAGTCACATTTGCAGCAAAACATTTGGGAAAAAGACACTTTAGTCCCCATCTTAGATGAGTATCACTTTTGGTCTTCCATCTTTGAAACCTGGTATTGTAGTCCCTCATCTTTATTTGGTTTTGTGATTAGATCGAAGATCCCTTTGAACAGCCCGTAAACACAGCAAGGACAGTTAGCGATAGGCAACTGGAGAGGATATCAGAAGCATTTCAGACTTCACTTCAGCTGCTTTCTGCACCCAACCTGGACCAAAACTCACTGCTGTCTACCCTTGCCAGACCACAAATTACAAGATTTCTGTCAAAAGCCCCTGCTGGAAGCCAAACTAGCAACATCAATGGGACTCTCCCCCAAAGTAGCTATACCAAAGGGACTCACGCTCAGTATCTTAGAGCTGGACAACAATTTTATCGGACTCAGCAGCATCCTCAGAATAGAAGTTATGGGAAACAACAAACTGGGCCTGGTCAGAGATCTTCCCAACCAATGCATAGTCAGGCACAACAAGCTTGGAGGCCCGGATCGTAGACATTAAATGCTTCACATGTTTCACCAGCTGATCTTTTGTGAGAAGAAAAATGCCCAGATATTGAGTTCATATTTAGATGGTAGCAGTTGAAATTACAGAAAGAAGGAACAGATAGATTTTGACAAATAGTAAACTATTAATTCGCAGCAGTTTTGAACCTTTTGGCTAACTAGCTTCTTACATATGCTACTGGGTTAGGGATCCTCATTTGCTGCAAACTCTTTGTGAATTGCTAAAAGATTGGAAAAGCGGTGTGCTGTGAGAGCTACCCAGCTGACATGCTTATCATTGTTGGAACTTAGACCCGATATTTTGAAAAGGATACTGGGAGTTTTGGGCATGTGATCTCTTTGTTAGTATCTTAATTGCTTAAACCAGAAATTAAATTTACCTGAGTTAAGAAACCCCATTAGTAGATTATTCTAAATTTCATATTCGTTCAGGTTTCGCATTGAGGAGCCGTTTGTTTAGAGGGAATCGGATTTGGGATTTGGAAACAGAATTCATTGAAGTGTTTGGTTAATGGGATTCACTATTCCTGGGATTGACTAAATCTAATAGATTCATTCCCACCCCTCTCTCCATGATTCGATTGATTCAATTTCTAAATCCTTTTTTCCTTTTTTTTTTAAAATTTAATTTAAAATAAACATTTTAATTATTTCCTTTTCTTTCTTCTCTTACTCTCTCCTCCATCCCATTTCTCTCTCCCCGTAAAATTCTTCTTCCCCTTCCCTTTTTTGCTTCCCTTTTTTATGGCTCCAAATTTCTTTTCATTCATAGATTAACATAAAAAATTACAGGTCTGAGATTTCTATCCGGACTTGTTTGATCTGATCCTAGTCGGCCTCAAGATTTTTTTTTTTTTTTCAATTAGAATTGGGTGGTGTTTATTCGACCGCCGTTATTGAGATTGAAAAGCATATTAATTGATTGAGATTTGGGATTGAAGGGGTGAAAGTGGAAGTTTTCTGGAGTTTAGATTGTGGTCAATGAAAGAGATGGTATGCGGTGGCAGCGTTCCTGGAAGAAATGTGGTGGTGGTTTTTGGTAGAGAAGTGATGGTCGCAGTGGGGAGGAGGGCAGAACGGTGGGGAGGGAAAAAGTTTTTTTTTTTTTTTTTTATCTTATTTTTTATTTTTATAACATTATAATAATAATAATCATAAATAACAATCCATAACTCAAACCAAACGCAGTATTGGATTCACGAATCCGAGGGAATTCGAGTCCAATCCAAATCCAATTCCTAATCCGTTTCCAGATGACGAAACAAACGCCTCCTGAAATCATAGCAAGTGCCACATCTGATTGCATTTGCATGGCTGTTGTAGCAGTCAAAAGCCACTGGAAGTAACCATACTGGTAATGAAAAATAAATACAATACATAATCTCTCCTTAGGTTTCCATATTTCCCAATCAAACACAACTAATTCCTACAAACTAATTCCTATGAACTGATTGTATTAGCAAAACGATCCTACTTGAGCTGGAACTAGAAATGTTGTATCAAATGCTGTACACCTGCTGCGACAATACGTGAGCTCTTGCTGCAGCATGACAATATCATGCGTTGATCTTCCAATTCAGAAGTGCGATCTGATTCTCTAAACAGTCCTCCTTAAAATTGTAGTCAGCTAATGGTAAGCTGTTGATCTTTGGCCCGGCTGTTTCTACCAATACACACGCGTAATAAAAAATGAAAATCCACTCACATGTCACCACTTCAAGTCTGCAAGAGGCGTTTATCAACTACCATGATCCTATAGCTAGCATGAGGGCCCTCAGATGTATCTCGTATCGTGACTCTCCAACCCATGGCTTTCCCTACAGCTTCAAGTTCATCCATTACAGCAAGAGAATCCCGAATATATATACGTCCACCTGGCCTAAGAATCCGATCCATTTCAAGCATAATGGTAGAAACATTGCACCTGAAATTACATGATTACATCAAACATTTACATTGCTGTATTATAGATGCTTTTGAAGCTAAAGCAGTAAAACTTGCATATCAATCTGAAGAGCAATCTCAGCATGATCATTAAACCTCCCACACATGGCAAACCTGCTTGGGACTGTTTGTAAGATGATCAAGATATTCTTTGCAGCATGGTTTTGTTAAGAAAGTAGTCATAAAAATCTTAACTAGTCATTGCATAAAAGAAAAGAACAGAGGAACTAAATTCCCGTACCTTTTCCGTTCAACAGAGAAGAGCCCAGAAGCGTGCAATAAATCATAGGTTCTCGGATACGTGTCAAATGGTTCACACCTATTAGCAATTATTGAGACATGACTGATATTAGACTGGGTGGCAAGTATCAAATTATTGCCATAACATAATAATGAGGAACATATTGAAAGAACAGCATAAAATTTCCAAATATTAGTTAAAGAATAAAACAAGATGCACTTATTGCAATACATTCTAGTGGCAAGGGTCTTAAAATTTTGATCTATAATAAGCACCTCAATCTAGATCCATCCTACCAGTAGTCTCATCCTTATTTTCACCTAAAGTTCAGAAGTAATCTCATCATCTTCACCATGTATGAACAGGGTGATACTCTTTTCCGTCGTCAATTTAGTAGCCAAAGCTGGGTAAGCAGAATAGTATACTCTTTTCGTTTATGATTTTGGAAAACATTAGTGCTGATAACAAATTACAAGGATTCTATCTTGCTTCACATTCTAAGCGGATTTTGTCTATTTAGACTTTCAACTGATCCTGAAGCTCATTTAAACTCCCATTTTCACTTTCAGCCAGTCTTAAGCGTATCCTGTCCATTCAAATGCAACCAAAAGGTTTTTGTGCAAATTCTACACTTCACAATTCAAAACATCTTTTGTCGGGAAGATTACTATTAAACAGTTCTAAACAGGCATACACAAAAAGAAGCCAAGTAATTTGTATATGTATTTTTAACAAATATATGCATTCTTAGGAAATAATTCATATACTTCAGGAAGCGGCATAGACAATTAGTTACCACGCCTCCGGGTTTTTCTGGCAACATACGGCAACACAGCAATTAAGAAAATATAGTAAAAGAAGATTAATGCAAAAACTGTACCAGTCATGCATAACTCCAATAAGTCCACGGTCATATATCACTGGCAATGTGTTGGGGCCACTGACAGGGACAACATTGAGAACCCAGCAATCCAGTTTCTGTTCAATCAATGCTGCTGCAAATCTATCAGACGAGAAAAAAAAGAAAGATTAGCGAGTGCAAGAGATATATCACTAAAAACAAATATAAGTGCAATATGCTGTATGTAAAACAAAAATGTAACATTAAAAGAAAAAGTACCCTCCAAAACCAGCTCTCATGTCCAAGACATTTCTAAGCTTGAACTTTCTCCACTTCAGAACTCTGACAAAACCCGAAACAATTTCACTCCAGTACTTAGACTCAGCCTTAAATAACTCTTTCCGGGAGATATAAGCATCCATTTGTATGGTTTGGAGCCTATCTGGAGGATTCTGCAAGCGTGCAGGCCACTGGCTTATGTTTCCACCAAAGCCTTCCTCAGGTAATCGGGTGATGCAAGCCTTCAAATCAACATACCTAAATTCATCACAGCAAAAATCTCATTACAGCCAAAAAATTAAACAACAATCAGGTATCAGGAAGAAACATGCCTTCAAATCAATGACAGGACCACCCTCACAAGTAAACAACAATCAGGAATCAGGAAGAAAAGCAACCATTAATAACCAATTCAGTAGTCACTACATTTGATGTACCAACATCATCAATAATCCAAAATTTAAAGAGCACATCATAAATTGGCGAATTCCATGGAAAAAAAGCCGAGAATAATCTGCTACTAAATTGGAAAGGAAACAGACCATAGGAATTGAGAACCAAGTACCAAAGCAAATAAATACAGAGTCTGAGTCAAAAAAGATAAAGACTAATGGTCTAAAGTAAAAACAAGAACCTAGCTTTAGCCACAGTAACTCAAGATTACTCACTCCAAAAATAATAATAATTAAACACAAATCCTGTTAATCCCCAAGGAAAGTACCCTCTCTGTAAATTAAGCTTGGGTTCAACCTTCATCAGATAGAATGTCAGTCTACAAAAGTAAATGGATGATTGACCATAATAGTGATGGCAGACTCAGAAGCTCTAATAATTTAAAATCACTCCAATGGCAGACTCAGAGATCTTACATATACAAAGCACATAATAGCAAATTGATGCCGTGGACATATCTTATTGCTTATAGGCACAATCAAAAGGATACCGGAAGATGCAGTTGCAGTATTAAATTAAACCAGTACATACCAAACTTTGTCAGGGTCATCATCTGGCTCACATAACGGCGGACTGGCACCTTCCTCGCGGCTTAAATAACAGCTATTATTCAGTGGCTTCTGCCATATTGCAATGTAACCCTCTCTCTTGACAAGTTGCCAGCAAAGACTGGTGGTCAGGTTCACCATTTCTGAGAACAAAAAGACAGACATTTTTATAACCACAAAGCTTAGCACTGTTGCATTTCCATAAGCAATAAAATTTGAAAGTGTTGACCCTGCAAAGATCTCAGGTATTTTTAGATGCAAGTGCCCAACGAATGACCACTTGAGAAATGCAGCACCTAGTCGTCACTCCATGCAATCATGGAGGTGAGATGACAAAAAGCGACTAGTTGAAACAATAAAAGAAGATGATAGCCCACAGCAAAAATAGTTCTAGAAGCAAAGGTTATCAGAGCTTATCATGGATTGTGTGGATATTTAGACCACTAAACTAACCAAGAGAAGGATACTTCTTACTTCTTGAGTACAAAAGGATACATTATGCCAGATACTATCCTCACACTTCATACACAGTAATATGTCTGACTTAAAAGCCATCGGAAATGAGATCAGCGGCTCACCTTCCCATTGTTCTTCCAAGGCCGCTTCGTGCTTATAAACAGGCTGTGCTGCCCAAGCAAAGTATCCTCCAGCCCTGAGCATTCTGTTGACCTCGAGTAGTAAAATACCATCTTGGTCCAATCCAAAAAATGATGAAATGAGATCATTGCAAGTTGAAAAAAATGCTAACAAAAAAGCAGCATAAATTACAGGTTCTGTGCAGATTGGGAAAGAAAACTATATGAATTTTACTTCAAAATCCTACGAATAATAATTGAAAATTTATAAGCACACACAGAAACGACAAAAAACAGTCAAAATACCATATCAATATCCCAATTAGAACTATAAAGAGGGTGGAAAAAAGATAGTAATGCAACTACCTAAGAGCCAAAGAAATTGTACTCTGCTTAAGTCACAAAACTTGCCCATTGATATTCACATACGTCTCAGACAACTATAAACACAACATTCATTATTACCAATAGAATTATCAGATAAACAGCTGAAGAGAAAATCACACATACCATCTCTAGTCCAGTTGATTCTACATCTTGAACAGTGTATCATCTCAAATGCCTGACTAGGATATAATAATCGCCTCGTCGCAAAAGCAGCCACCATAGCCGGCACGCCCCGTTCAAGAGCAAACTGTATCTGATTCTCATGAACATCTTTCGGGGCAACTGACAAGGTAAGCGTGTCTTTTGAAAACAAATAAGCACCAAAACTTGCAACACCGCAACCAACATCCAAAACAACCCGAGTATTCTTACCAAAAGCAATCTCTGGGACCATCTGCATGCAATATGAAAATGCCCTATAAATAAACAAGTAAATACTACGACAACAGCTTCCTTGAAGTCTTCAGTAATGAACATCATAAAATAAACCCACCTTTTCAATCTGATCCAAGTATTTATCAGCCCCGTGTATAAACTGAGTGCCTCCTCCAGGAAATTTGAACTTATCCTTATCAATAGTAATCCAGTTTTGACCACCTTTGTCCTCAACAAGGCGGGCATGAGGAACATTGCTGAACCAGACCTGAAATTTGACAAAACGAAGCACAAGAGACTTCATTTCAAAATTTTGCTAGAAGTTCAAAATACGGGGTGAATCAAATTACAATCTTTCAGTGGTGCTCAAAGTCCTCATGGTCAATGTTTTTTTACCCTGCCCTAAGTTATGAGAATCATAAATTTCCTAGACTAGACAACTGATCATCATGCAAATATATGAATATTATGGCTGCCGAACAGAACAATAGGAAAATGAAACATTGGAGATTAAAGTGACAATGTTTAGTACCTCGTCACGACTTTGAGGCCAAGGAATAGGCTGTCTATATCCCAGGGGAGCAGGGACCAAGCAATTCAATCCCGTTCCATTTTCGGGACAATGCCGCTCGAATCTTTCCCCCTTTTCGGTGGATTTCAGCCTCTTGATCGCCTCCACATTGTCCAGACAAGGTATATACTCCCTCATGCTCTCCGGACAGGAGGCAAAGTTGTCAATCTTAAACCCTCGGCCCGGAACCGTCTGCATCTCCTGGGTCTCATTGCTACCCGAAGCCTCCCAATTATCTACGACTTCAGAATCAAACTCGCCCACTTCAAAATCATCCGCCATCACTCCATTCTCATCCACCACCCCCATCCGCTTCACAACCGGCGGCGGAGGCGGTGGCGTCGGCTGCGGCTCCACAGGCGGCGGAACTGAAGAAGAAGCAACGGAACCATCCTGCCGCTCTTCTTGTTGCTGCTGCTGTTGAGGGGCAGTAGTGGAAGAAGCGGTGTCGTTTATGAGGGAAGGAAGGTTGAAGCTTTTGTTGAAATTGGGGGATAAACCGACGGAAGAATGGGAGTTAGGATCGGAAGAAGGGTTCTGGTGAGAAGAGAAGAACAGAAGTTGCTGATAAACATCGGATTTGGACCATTGGGTGCCCAAGTAAAAACAGACAATGGAGACGAACAACAGTACAGAGATTTTGAGGAAGCTTGAAGATTTCGAGAGATCCACATTCCCCAATCCCATCATTATTAATTACATCCAACCGAATTTCTTCTTGTTTTCTAAATCGATTTTCACAGCAATTGTAGAATGAAGTTTTTTTTTTTTTTTTTAAAGAAAAAAAAACCTAGCCCAGATCGGATCTCCACCGCTTCCTCCTTCGGTTTCTTGAATATGGAGGGAACGCAATCCGTCCTGCCCAACTGCCAGCAAGAGTGAGCTTTTTTTGTCTACTAATTTATTAGTAGTAATAATACTTTTACTGGAACTGACACTCTCTAACTTTCCATCTTTACCGCGTACACAAATTCATACCGCAAAATTATTATGAATTACGAAATGATAATTGAAAAAATATTCGGACGACGAAAATGAAGAAAAACCATCCCTGCCAATTTTATTTTTTTTTTCTTTTTGCCATTTTATATCAACAAAAGTGTAAAATTCTGAAAAGAGTAAAAAGAAAGATTTCCTAGCAGCCGAAAACTTTGCTTCAGAAGTCCATCCATCGGCTGAGATTTTTGTAATACCAATACGATCATCAATGTCGGTGTATTCAAGTCATTGTCATGCATGATTTGCAAAAAATCTTTAACTACTACTATGTCGGCGGCTCATACATAATTGCAAGTCTTCATATGCTGAAATGTCAAAATAATCAAAATCTTGAAATCTACATTTTTACTCGACTCAAACCTAAACAAAAATTGCAAGCCATTGTAGAAAGGGAAAAAAAAAGTTCATTTCTCCGCACAAATTTCTCATCTAAAAGATATAATAATTGTGATGGTGGCCCTTATGATAAAAAAAAAAATAAAATCTATTAGTGTTATTTCTTACTCTAACAAGAAAAAACGGTTCGATTATAATTTGGAGAATATCAATTGGTTGTACTTTAAATTAGTATAAAATTTTGTAAACTAAATATGAATGTATAGTTACCTTTTCATCAATCAACTCATGTAATACTCCGTATTACCGATAAAAGATAGTGAAATACTTATGCACAAAGCAAAGGTCTATTGCGTCCTGTCCCACATCGAAGGATGGGTCTGGCTTTCAAGCTCGGAGGACTATGAAATAGGGGCTCCATTACTGTAATACTCATACCTTTCTCGGCCTTTTGGCTAAGATCAAGTGTAGTATCTGTTCTTATCAGTTTAATATCTGATACGTGGGCCATCGGCCCACACGATATTAAATGAATTTTTTCAGGGGGATGGCCCATTAAGGTAGCTTGCTGCCTGGGTCGTCAAGCGTCGCCCATGCGTTGCACTACTGCACGGGCCTGGCGCACCCCTCCAATTTTAGTTAAATTGTTTTCGAAGATCCTAAACTTAAATGTCACTATTTTGGAGATCAGTATTAGAGAAATTTGTGGGATTAAGGGAGAAAAATATAGACTAGAAAATTATATGTAGGACAACTAAAAGTTACATACATTTTTGTTGGGAATTAGACGAGAACAATCGGAAGTACATGCATCAATTATCTAAACAACCTTAAGTTTATATTTACGTCATCGAAACACTTGCGTAAGTTGCAAACAATTAAGTGAATTTGAGCAAAAAACCAAAAAAGTGGAGACGGCAACTAATTAAATAAGAACTTCAGGATACTATGAACTTTTCGATTTTGTTTTTGCTCCTAGTAAATTCCCTAAACAAGAAAGTTTGGTATTTCTGCAAACGTTCGAATCAAAATGACAAAGTAGAAAATGATAATTGAACTCTATTCAGCATTCACCCATGCTCAAGATCAAAAAAGTAAACTGGATGACATAAAATTGGAAAAGAAAAACAGCTATTCCTGGCCATTTTATGTTACTGAGCTTCAGACGAAATCATTCGTCAGAATCATACTTAACAGTGACATCAAGTTTAAGAATGGCCCTCAAATTAGGTATATCAATGAACTCAGTAGTCATAATTCCATACCCTCTGACAAATCTGAAAAACCCAGTCCCGGAAACAACAGAAAACTCCCTTTCCTTAACGGAAAAAGGATCAGGGCCTTGAATCTCCAAACTGCTCCCTTTGTATTCTCCTTCGGTGAATACCACAGAGAACACCAAATGCAGACCCTTCCCATCCATCTGGGAATTGATGTACAAACCTTGAGCCCTCCCTATTTCTCTGGAATCCCGATCTGGGCCTTCAGTAACTGGATCATCCACCGCAACTAGAGTCCCAAACTTCAACACGCTCGTCGTCGGCCCATTACAGCCAGCCACTGTTACGGCAGAAGTGTCATGCCCGCTGAAGTTGTCATGAACATACAAAACAAGGTTGGTTTTTGTTCTCTTTGGTTTAGTTTTGGGAAGGTTTTTTATAACCCAATACATAATTGGCAGAGCAATTAAAGGGAGTAGAGTGGAAGTAGCAAAGGCGAGAAACTTAGACATGGTTTTGGAAGAATATTATGGCTCTGTTTTTGGCATTTGGATTGTTATGCAATGTTGCCATCAATCAACGAGGTCAGATGTTTAATAAGGTCTGAAAGATTCCTAATCGATGAGTTGTCGGGAAACGACAAAGCTATGGCAAATTCATTTATGTAAAGCATCTGAGGTTGGCTTGGAATTATATGATCAGATTGATTCTTTAGGGGAATCATTTCTCCATCCGTCCGAAATTATTAATCCAGTTTTGATCTTCATTCTTAGTTTAAATCGTGCTAAAAATTCATTTTAATTTGGTTTGGAGGCTTTTGGCACCATTTATCGAGGCTTTTACACGTCCTTAACTGCTCCAATATTATGGCACCTCGGTTAGTCCTCTGTCCTCGTGATTAAATTTTGTCAAATTTATACCTTTTATAGCTTCCATAACCAACCTTATGACAAGCTATCCTCTATCACCAAGCTGATATATAATATTATGAGGTCTGATTTGATAGTAGTTTCAACTGAGAATAGGGAAGGGGCCGCGCGAACGCAGGCCCCCACTGACACAAATTATGACGTTGGAGCTCCATTAGGAGACCATAGACAGGCACCCCTCCGGATGTGCAATGGAGGTCACAAACAGTCTAGGCCATGAGCCTTCTTGATCGCTCATTCACCCCGTCCAGGTAAGTATGTTTCTGAGTTGCTGCCTCCTTCCGTTTTATATCCTTGCCCAATTGACTTCTTTTGCTCCACGGCCGATGTGGGACTATGAGGCGGTCATCATTAATCATCATAATTCAATGGCACTTCTAACTTCTCAATTCAAAAGCTTACTTTTGGATTGCAGTTTTAACTGTACGCAGGGCTGCTGTCGCAAGGGGCATATAAACTCATTTAATAATCGGTTTCTTCTTTAACATCTTGCATGATATTAAGTAGGCAGATCTTCTCGTCTTTGAGTTGTGAAGGCATGATTGATGCATCAACCACCACCTTCACTTTTGTTTCCAGTGATGAAGGGATTACCAGCACTAGATAAACCTTCACCTCTGTAACCAGCAAGACACATTCTCTCTAATGGTATATAAAGTTTAAGTTTCTATTCTCAAAAAAAAGACGAAAAACAAACTATACGTGTGCATTCTGAAGCTAAGAATTTCTACATACCCAAAGAAAATCCATGTCATAAAGATTGTATTGTTGGTTTAGTACTCTGGATGAATGTAAAGGAAACAGTTCTCCCTTTACAAAAAAACATGAAGCTAGAGTTAATAGACAATCAACACCCAAAGGATGTATGCAGAATGAGTCCAATCCTATCATTGAGATATAGACATGCTTTGATATTCCCCTACAAATTCTAAGGTGCATCTTCTAGAAAACATGTTATTTGGCCATTGTAAAATCAAACAAATACGTATTACATTATTACACCCGCCTCCGAACACGCCTGATGTGGGGATTCACCGACTCTGCGGCACCACCATCACCTGCCAAGTCTAGCCCGAATATACTGCTACCGCTTCTTTTCTTACCGGAGATTGAGTTTGGCTTATCATCAACCAATGCTATTGTTTCCAGCAACTCAGACAACAGCGAGGGACAGCTCTCTTCCAACTGTTTGAAACCATCTGACTGCATAACCGCTGTATAAAACACAAAAGAACAAAACAGTTCAATAACTACATGGCCACAGTACGAAAAAGATGCTCACGAACAGTTAAGCTGATAGAGTTTTCCAACTGCTAATTCTTTGGTCACCCAAGATAAAAGAGAAAGGGTAAAGAAAGATGGAGTAAGGCATCTCAAGTTTAACATGCACTTGATCGGCAAACTGTGCTGTAACAAAAAAATTTATGTTGTTCCATACATGCTCACAGATATCTCAAGTATATTCTCCAGTAATCCACAGATTAAAATTCATTTCATGCAGCACCATCCTTTATTTCACACAGATCAATGTGAGAAAGAAAACCATACAAAATCACCATAGTTAAAGTAACCTGAAACACTGCCGCTCAGGTCTATGGACTACACGCACCTCCCAAGTTTGTTGCTGCAAATTTCAAGCACATGGCTTTGAGCTGTGCAGAATGATGTAATTCAGCTAGGGAAAGAGTTGTTGCTACGGTATCAGCGTTGATATCTTCACACAATCTTGCTTCACATAACTGTTTCAACCTTTCTAAACCATACCGATCAGCAGCAGCCAGGAGATGCTGCATCATGATGGTAGACGTGCATATGGATGTCGATCCAGTGATCTCATGTAGATCAGGGAGGCTATCAGAGTAAATATACTGGAGCATAACCTGCAAACATTTAAGATGTGTATAATAAATCATTCATCAGAAAAGGATTTAAATTAGATAAAAAAGTAAATGGATAATATCTGATCAGTTAAATAATGACAACCAGCAGAAACTCGAAAGGCCAAAAACAGCGCAGCTATTCATATATAAAATTACTATTAAGATTTGATGGAGATACTTCCAAAAGATAATCCCTTAAAAACACGGAACAACATTAAAAGCAGACCAACTTAATAACCCAGTTTTCTGCACTCTTGACCATAAATTACACTCCAGCTGAACTATAAATGGCAGACTATCTTCCAATCGCCATAAAGGTAATCACCTATAAAAGGGTTTTAACAAACTTTTCCCCACAGAACCATCCAATCAATGATCTTGGGCTACTAAAAATTAATAGGAAATAACTTTTCATACTTGCAGAAAGTCATCACATTTGGACTAGTTCTTGAATACAACTGTGCACTCCTTGAATTGCATGTGACGGGGCAATCAAGACCAACAAAAAAACTCCACTGGCCACAACCTACTTGGTAGAGCAACTATTCGGGCGAAAAACATATCTATTCCTATACTGGACTTGATAGCACACAGGTGATACTTAGATGCTCTGTTATTACAATTGCTCTGCCACTAGCTCTAGTGTGAAATCCTTCGATGAATAGCCAACTTAATCAGTCAACCTTCATAATTTGTCACCTATGTCCCCTTAGGAACAAAACTTGTGCACGATATCATGGCAAAAAGTAAGGGAGCAGAAAAGAAGCATGCCATGACATAAAAGACATGATAGCTTAAGCTATCTTACTTTCTGTTAGGGAAGAGCTAGACAGGAAGAAATATATAAAACAGGGAAAATATCACGAGATTCACCTTGAAGATGGAAGGTTCTATATCTTCGACGTCTACTTTGTCTACATTAGGATCTCCAATGAGTCCGAAAAATTGAGCTCTAAAAACAGGAGAGCGAGCAGCAAGTATCAACTTATGAGCCTTGAATGTCTCATCACCGACCTGAAACTTTATATCACAGCCCATTTCAGATTCAAGCAAGTTCTTGAGATCATGTCCCATGCTTGATGGTGGAATAGCAATGCTATACTGCTTTGGTGCTTCGACACGGGTTTTAACAACTCCAACAGTACAATGCATCGCAAGGGAGTCATCCTTCAGGTAGTCAGAGGTTTCTAAACTGGTCCTTCTAAAGAAACGCTTGTAGCCCCTGAAAGAAAACAAAAAAAGGGAATTGTTGACGGCAGTTAAGCTATTAACACACCCCTACTCGACAAATGGTGTATGAAATTCATTTGATAGGTTATTCACATCCTCTTGACTTTGATTCAAATCATAAAGTTGGTCCATAATTCTACCATAAAAAAACTCCAACTCACAAGTCGATAACTAATGTATAAAATCCTCAGTGAACTAAAAGATAAGCTTCAACCTAGTCCAAAAATCAACAGTGGAAGGTATCATTCAAAATGGTTGATGCCGAAAAACGATGCATGGCAACAAATATAAGGTATTCCAGCATTACATTTAAAACATGATTCCAGACCAATGCATGCTTTTGTTCAGGAGAAGCACAAAACTACATTGAGCATACCAGCAAAATTAGCGGTTTTTCAGTTATCCCAACATATAAAAAAATAACCTTTACTTAGCACGGTTACATCCATACTGGCGCAACAAAAAAGCTAAACCTAGATACACTTTCTAGGCAAAATGAAAACCCTAAATTCATGGGTGTAAAAGGATCAATAATTCATCCATGAAATTTTCATCGGCAAACAGTATAACATAGATGAACAGTATAATTAGATTCAAGCATTAAACAATCTACTGAAGAAAAAAAAAAAGAAAGAAAGAGGACATACCACATGCTTCCTCTGTATTTCAAAGTATAAGGGCCGCTCTCCAAGGCACGATCAAAATGGCTGTGAACTTTGTGCTTACCCTTCCCGCTCTGGTCCAAGAGCGTGAGTTCAAACAACGCCCGGACGTCGGTACCCTCGCTGGCCAGCGCGATGAACACCGAAACGTACATGGAGGAATCCTCGATATTCTTTCCATCAGGGTAGAAGTAAACCGCCCAATCGTAACCGCCGACGCTGAAAGTGTCGCTGGATATGTACTTGCCGGGTCCTATACCCTTGGCGAGGGAGTAGCCTTTAATGGTGAAACTGTGAGAGCCATTCACCGTCTCGCTAATCGATTTGGAGCTCGTGTCGTTGGAATTAAGGTCGCTGGGCTCGCAATTCACAATCATCTCATTTGGATTTCAGATTGAATTCGCTGGGGGAAAAATTGGGGGAAATTCGCGACCGGGAAACCCTAGATGAAGAAGATAGAGAAGGAATGGAAAATTACGAGAGGGGTCGGCGGTGAAAATGATATTATATGGAAATTCAATTACGGAAGGGAGGCAAAAATGGAAGGGAATTGATTGGGAGGAGTTTGGTAAAATTGGGGTGGCAGCGAGAAAGAGGTGTACGGTGGGCTTTAGCACGGAAGAACACGAAGGTCGCCTCGGGAAAGGGTATGATTTCAGTTTTCTTTTGTTTTAAGGCCTGCGCACACAGTAGAGGCACCAAAAGCTATTTACTGATCTCAGTCTTCGTCTTCTTTAATGTTGAGGATAATATTTTTATTTTTTTGTCATTTTTAGTATTTGATCCATCTCATCTCATTTTAATAATCACAAAAATACATACTCCCTCCGTCCCATAATTATTGTCCACTTTGCCCAAAAAATTTTGTCCCAAAATTATTGTCCAATTTGACTTTTTATGGATCAAGTTACACATTTGTCCTTAGTAAAAAGCATTATCCATAAAATCTTAGTGGTTAAACAATTACTTATGTAGGGGTATATCCGGTTGGTTAAGGTAAAATATAGTTAAGTTTGACCAAAAATAAAATCTTTCATTTTAGTAAAACTGGACAATAATTATGGGACGGAGGGAGTACAATGTAATGAAGAGGACTAGTTGTAGTTCTATATTCATTTGTGATGAAAGTAGTGATTTTTAGTTCAAAAATTCTTGTCAAGGCTTAAAGTCAATGGTTTTTAAACACCTGATCTTTGCATTTTATGTTGCTTAGCAATTTGCATAACTATAAAATGAGGATTTACTTTCTCCCAACCAAAAAAAAAAAAGAGAGAATTTGCTCTGGCTTTTAATTTACCTCATTTTTAAATATCAATTAATTATATTTATATTTTTCATTTAAAACTAATGAGCATTAATTACTAGTATGATTAAGTATTATAACACGAAAATAATTATCTAATTTGATCATAATTTAAATACAAAATGAGAATGAAAACTGAACAATCATTCAAAATAGCAAGAGATATTATTTAATAAAGAAAACACATCTGTTGTATGAGTTATATCATCCAACCCAGCTGATCTTGTTTATGGGACTTGAGGCCTCCAACTACTAGTATACACATGCCAACGAAATTGGATGATCGGATCACATTCAAGCGTGTGGATATATGAGCTCTATTCTATACTACATCCGGTCTATCGTTCTACTGTTACGACTAATCCGAGTTCGAGTTGGTATTTGAAAAAGCAAATTAATCCCTATAACGGGTTCTATTTATTCAAGTACATTTCTACCGGGTTGAATTTGAGGTGATGCGTTCATCCTTAACAAAAAGCATAAATGTAAGCCATTCGGATGACTCGACAGTATGACAGCGAGCTGCTGCGGTATCGGTATCCATTCCATTATACCATGTAATAAGTAGTTTGGAACCTGTGATCACTCACTATAGTTATGATGATTGATGAGCATCAGAATTGTAACTGTCGGTAGATGGATTTGTTCTTGTTTCAAATAGGAATGTATGATTGAGCTCATGATTCAATGATTAACAAAGAAAGAGACGTTCAAAAAAGATATTGTAGTAGATGATTTGAAAAATTGGGCTCCAGATACAAAAACATGAACACAGAAACACACATGAATTGGGAGGCTCAGGTGAAGATGGATTTATGTTCCGTACGCTCCCCCGAAACTTGTGGCTTCACGGATCCGTACCCGTTCCACCACTTGAAAACAAGTGGCTCTCCAGTTGATTCATGTCCCTTCTTCGTATGATTAGTTTTTATTTAGGATTTGGGAATTGGTTTGGTGGTGTTCTACTGGTTTTTTTGGTTTGGTTCATAATATATTCAGTCGGTCACTGCTTGAATCCGTGACTCTAATGTAAGCTTTGATCGAATCCATCAGTTGAAGTGGGCCAAAGGGGGTCACAATTGATGTTCATGTCAATGATGATTGGCCAAATAGCTCTACCCATCATTGAAGTGTAGCTACAAAGATGAAATCTTACACCCACTATATGCAATATAAGACATGAAAACGTGATATCCACCAACGAATATTGTAGTCGGTTCCGGTTTTGCATAAATCAAATTTGAAGGTTGTTGTTTTTCTCTTTGATTGAAAAAAAAAAGACATGGTGTCAAATATTTTATACTTATGATGTAGCACGTGTTAAAAAAATATTTTTTCCGTCTCAAAATTATTGTATAAACTTATAACAGTTGTAAACTAATAAACAGAAATATGTTGACAAGACAAGCAAATATACTCTACCTTTTCCCTAACACTAAAAGTTGCCAATTTCATATCTTACTGACTGCAATTAATCTTAAAATTCATGCACAAACCTTGACGTTGAATATTACAGGAATGAAAATTCAAACTGGACAATAATTTTAAAACACAGAGAGTATATCGATGATGTTGTGTTTTAGATATCGATCAAACACGTAATGAAATCGATAGCAATGAATCATTTTTATAAACACTATCACTATCCATTTCGGACACAATTCTATGCCAGCCCTAGAATTTGAAACAAACCCAAACTTTCACCCCCTTTTTATTTTTATTATTAAAAGAAAAATGCAGCCTATTAAAACTTGGTCGTGTTTAATCCGCACGCCGCTAAATAGCGCTGTGGTATACTAGGCTATAGCTAGCTGATCAGTGATCATCGGTAACTGATGGCCTATCATCAAACGTAAAACAATCTCTGCTTTCTTTTTTGGAAATTAACAAACTCCTGCTGGTAGACCTGCCAACATATACTTCAGGTTCCCCAATTATTGAGTGGCACCTGGCCTTCGATTGGGCCTATTGACTGCCGAAAGGCGGACCCATGATCTTTCCGCTGGACTCGTGTACACCTAACCGAACTGTTGACCACCCATAAATTGATTGGAAATTATACCCAAGTCTTATAAAATCAGTCATATTTTTAAAAGATATGGTAGTAGCACTATAATGAGTTGTAATTTTTTGTTCATCATGAATCTCAAATAATGCAGTATCTCACATATTTAACTTCATGTAGACAAATATACATTAGCATACAAACAAAAAAGAAAAGAAAAGAAAAGAAAGTAATACCACAATTAGAGAAGATACCGTTATAATAAGAAAAAAATATTAAATGTATTATTTATTTTAAAAATTTGTTGTTGGTTGCTTTATAAATCAGCATTCACCGTGGAGAGATTGAGTTGAAATAATAGAAAGAACAATGATACCAATAATGATAGTTCCTTTAAATGGAACAATGATACCCACTACTCTCTCAATAGTTATTAACAAATGAGGGAATGGTTATGTATTTATAGTTTTATACATATGTCATATCAGATACTATTCTATATTACTATAAATTAATTATATATATTATATATACTATTTCCGTCCCAAAAAAAATAATCCACATTAAGTTTTCAAATTTGTACTAAAAATAGTATAAAACTCAAAATTTAATGTGGACTTTTTTTGGAGGAGGAGGAAGTACTTCTTAACAGGTCATTACATTAAAAGTAAACTTAACGTAACAAAATTGGAAGGTGGTTGGAAATTTTACCCGCAAAAAAACAAATCAAATCTGGCCAAAAAAACACAAATTTATACACAGCTACTGCATTTTTTTTTAATGTATCTAGCAAAGGCAATAAAAGATAGTAAATAAAATACCACAAAAAATGAATCACTTTTTTTTTCCGTAATTTTTTTGTGAGTAAGTTACACCACAGTGACTATAAATAACAATTACTCCAACTAAACACCTTAGGGGCACAGACCAACCAAATTTACCCAATGCTGAAAACTTTTATTTTAATAATAAATCAATTAAATAAGTAAAAATGGTGGATGCCCCAGGTTTTGATTTTTGAAAGTTATAAATCCACGTGGTGGAGGCGAGTAATGATTAAACATTAATACCAGTTGGACACGTGTCGGGGAAGCGGAGGATACACGCCAGCTCCAATGAGCATGGTCTATGGAGAGTCTTTGGAGAAAACCGTCCTTCCTTCCAGAAACTTCCAGCCCAACTCCTGGCTGATAATCGTTAGGCATCGATCGGCTGTCATTTCGCCACGTGTACAAAAGTCCACGCAAGCGTCCTAGCTGGCACCTCCATTTTGATGGAAAATGATACGGCCCTTCTTTTATGCTTTCAGGCACTTTCCATTCTCCACAAAACACTAAGCCCAAAAAAAAACCCCATCAGAAGAAAAATAAAACGGAAGATTTCACCCTCAGCTCCAAAACGCAATTTTTTTGTTCTTACCACTGAGAGCTCGAAGGAGGAAAAAAATCTCTACTTTATTACTGTAATTTTTTAAAATTAACTTTCACTTACCTAGTCGGGTTTGTTTCTTTTTCAAATTTACTTTCGATTTATTTATTTATTTTGGGTGGTTTGGGTATAAATCGGGTTTCAACCATTGGGAAATGAATGGGAATGGAGAAGGAGGTGGAGAAAGTTTGAGAGCCACAATGGAGGGTAACAGGGAGCGAATGGTGTATATGTGGGGATATCTGCCCGGAGCACTACCGGAAAGAGCGCCGCTTTTGTCGCCGGTTCTGGTTAGGCTTCCGCCGTCAGTTGGGGCTTCTTGGAAGGATGTGTGCGGTGGCGGCTGCGGATTCGCTATGGCTATTTCTGGTAACTTTGTTTTTTTTTTTTTTATATATATGTTTTTATTTCTTTTGCAATTTAATACGTAGTAAACGGAGTTTTAAGCTGTGGTGCTCTAAGTTTTGTTTTTGGCTCAAGCATTGTGGTAAACCATCAACATTTGCTTGTTACCTGGGCTTGAGTTGTTATTGAGGTATCTTAATGAATATATATTTAAAATTTGCTTCCTAGAGGCATATTTTGATTGTTAATTTTAGGGTACCATTTCTGTTTTAAACTTTTTTTTGGGGGTAAATATAAAGGGCGCCACATTTTTCCTTGGTTTACGAAAGGAAAACCATTTTAGATTGTTCTCAAAGCTTCAAAATTGCCAAGTGACTGAGTCATCTCCTGCAAAACAGTTGCCTTTAAATTACTTTTTATCTCAAATGATTCCCTACAAGGTTTTTGTATTCCACTTGATAATTTTGACTGAAGAAATGGTGTTCATAATTTGTGTGCTCGTATACCCATAATTATCGTTGCTACAGACTCAGCTATGTGCTAGAGCTACCCTCTGTGTTAAAAGCATCTAATTTTCTTCAGGTTTTCAGTTTCAATTTAACATGTGTTCGATTGCTACTTGTGATACATCGATAACCTGAAACATTGCTGACGGTTTTGTATCATACTTGTGCCAGACCCTGGGAAGCTCATTACATGGGGTTCAACAGATGATTTAGGTCAAAGCTATGTGACATCTGGAAAACATGGGGTATGTTACTAGATTTAAGTTACCCAGTTCTTTTTCCTTTTTTTTTTTTTTTTGTCCCATTTCAAGTGAAGGTTACCTACATTTGTTGGCACTTTGTTTGATAAGGAAATACCAGAGCCTTTTCCTCTTCCTACGCAAGCTTCGATCATCAAAGCTGCAGCAGGTTGGGCACACTGTGTTGCTGTTACAGGTATACTCTTGCAAGTTTGTTATCCATCCCTTCTTTTAGTTATGATCTTGTTGAAGTGTTGAAAATTTGTTGCCTGCTGAGGTTTCAACTATCGTTTGCTTATGATCTGGAAAGAAATGGTTAAGTAGAATTATTGTGCTCAAAGCTGTTGTTGTTTTCTTTTCTTTGTTTTAGTCAGGTTATAAACTTTTTGTTACTATCCGTATCATAACATAAAGAATTTTTTCTTTTCTTCAAAGCAGAACATGGTGAAGTTTACACATGGGGATGGAAAGAATGTGTTCCCTCTGGCAAGGTCTTTGGAGACTCATCCTTAGGGGTGAGCACTGAAAAGGATGTTCCTGATAGGCAAAGCCCTTTTACGTTAGACCAAGGTAATGGCCTGAGAGGCACTAATGCCCATTTTTTCTTGAATTTATGTTCTCATTTGTTTTACAGATTGATAAGTTTCAAGGGACCTTGGTACAGTTAGCCCTCGCTCCCAGGGATCAAGATCCAACGCAGGGACATCGTCCAATGCAGATAGTAAGGGAGGTGGGGAGGAGACATCAAAGAGAAGAAGGATATCATCAGCTAAACAGGCTGCTGAGAGCTCATCATCTGCTGATGAAACTCTTTCAGCACTGCCATGTCTGGTCTCACTAAATCCAGGAGTAAGGATTGCTGCTGTTGCAGCAGGTGGCCGCCATACATTAGCATTGTCAGGTAATTCAATCTTTTTTATCTATTGTGTCTTTACTCTGACCTTAATGTAGGATCTATCTGCATCAGCCTGGAAGTGTGTAAGTCTTTAGGAGTTTCCTTGTTGAATTTATTTAAAAACAGGCACTTGATGTGCCTTATGTTTTTCAAAGTTTAGATATAGGACAGGTGTGGGGATGGGGCTATGGTGGTGAGGGGCAGCTGGGTCTGGGGTCCCGGATACGCATGGTGTCATCTCCACATCCTGTACCATGCATTGAGTCAACTGCTCTGGGGAAGGATAGAACCATGGCACTCTCTCGAGGAAGCATTGCCTCAGACGGACATAACTTCAGAGTTCCTGGCAGTTATATAAAGGGAATTGCCTGCGGAGGCAGACATAGTGCAGTAGTTACCGGTTAGTAATTACAGCTCATCCTTGTTCAAATTATCCTGTTACAAGATTTAAAGCAAGCAAAGTTGTTCATGCATCCATCAAGCCACAAGTGTTCCCATATAATAAGAGCCACACTATTGCTTTTTCATGCTTTTGTAATAGCTTGTTGATTTCACAAGACTGTACTTCTTTTTCTATTTCAAATTCTTCTAACTGTATTTCTAAGCATATAAGTTTTTCTTTTACTCTGTGCAAGTTGTTTATGAAGAATTTCTTTGACATTGGCGTTAAAAACAGATGCAGGTGCTCTACTTACATTTGGCTGGGGACTGTATGGACAAGTGAGTTTTTGCACTCGGGTTAATTGTTATCTGCATGTGGATTGCTTTGTTCCATTTCTGCTACTATGGGGATGATGATCTTCCATTAAGACCTTGAGTTTGTCTTTCTATTGAGTTTGCATTTAATATTTGGGATTGTACTGAACAAGTGTTGATCGAAGGAGCTATCTGTAGTATATGAGCAAAAAACCACCATTTCAATTTCTATTAGAGTTGGAAAAGCTGGAAGCAGCACTTCTTCTGTACCAAATCAGCTCTATGGCATTGAGTTCCTAATGCAGTTACACGAAATGTAGCTCTTTGTTTGGAGGGCAGTTTAATTAAAGTCTCAAACGGATATGAAACTAAGTCTTAGCTTTTCTGCTCCTTAACATCTTTTTACACCCATATCATGATGCTATGGCATTAAGATCATCTCAGATTCTCTAGGAAATGCCACAAATGCTACACTTGCAATTTCAATTGTAGACAAGGGAGAATTCTATTTATCTGTTTTCATTCTTTGCTGCTAATTTTCTTAAGGGGGCTACCATTTAATATAATATGAACATGAGTATGTTGTTACACCATTGCAGTGCGGTCAAGGAAGTACAGACGATGAGCTAAGTCCAACTTGTGTCTCTTCCTTGCTTGGAATCAGGATAGAAGGAGTGGCTGCAGGGCTCTGGCACACTGTTTGTATCTCTGCTGATGGTGATGTTTATTCTTTTGGTGGGAATCAATTTGGGCAGTTGGGTACTGGTTCTGATCAGGCTGAGGTACTATGCACATTGCTTTTCCGGCTTATACTCTTAAATTTCACTGTGGTCGTTCATGGTTCTAATGTAGCTCTCACTGCAGACTCTCCCCCGGCTGCTAGAGACACCAAGTCTGGAAAATGTGCATTCAAAAGTTGTCTCATGTGGAGCTCGTCATAGTGCTGTGGTTACAGGTACGGATTCTGTCATTTTCTATGAAGCAATTAGTAATCCAGGCTTTTGGTAGTTTTTTATTTGAGGCGAATAACAAAGTGAACTGCATAAAGCCTAGCAACCTACATAAATAAAACCATCTCTCGGGCTGGCACTTGCATGAAAGCTAGGAAGAAGTATATAAGCTAGGCTACAATGGTGCTGTAGGTGGAGGCTTCCTACCTGATGTAGCTGAAACTTTTTCTGATTTATCGATCTGCTCTGGTCACTTGATAAGCTTGTTAGAAAGTGTCAGACAAGTTCTTGTATATTACTGGGATAGCATTAGTTCATTTTCATTAATAACTAATTCCCACGTGGCTGACATTCTAGCTCTTGTTGTTTGTAGAGGAAGGTGATGCCTTCTTTTGGGGATGGAACAAGTATGGCCAGGTATATTTTCTTTATCTCCTTGTTTCTGAACTCTAACCTGGGATTCACATCATGGACTTGAAGCTGTATGTTTTCTATTGTGTTTATTGAAATATGCATTAATGGGTGTGGTCTTGTGCAGCTTGGCTTGGGCGATGTAATTGACCGGAACACTCCAACGAAAGTCAGCATTGAAGGGTGCGTTTTCAAGAATGTTGCTTGTGGCTGGTGGCACACCCTTGCATTGACTGAAACCCAAGAACCTGCTTGAATAATGGCCTTGCGGCGGTTATGCTCCAATTTTGGTAGGTTGACAGTTCGTTCTCGTTGACTAGTACTGACAGCAAGTTGAGGCAAACTCTCGAGAGTCGAGACTCTTGGAGTCTGGTGTTTGTAAATACAATAGCTTGTACAAGATGCGTATATGTAGCGACATTGAAACTATTCTTTCATGGTGGAGGTTTGATGAACCATGTATGGTGTTGGTAGATGAATTTAGACATTTAGTGATTAGGTGATTTAACATATGGAGTCCCAAATGTTTCTTGTACTTACTACGATTATGGGTTGTTATTGGAAGTCTCATATTCTGCAACCTAATATTTGCATTAGGGTCTAGAAATCTGCGGAATGGAAAGGGGCTAGCAACCTTTCGTTATCTGTAATTAATGTTACACGCAACTATGTATTACAAACGAGGCTTTATGAAACATCCTTTAAAAGACGAACAAAATTTTAGCTAATGACTACTTTAACAACAACAGATGTAACCTGGCTATTCTATTCTGCAATAGATACCTGAAATGAAAGCACTCAAATATGGAGGCAAATATGGAGACATATATGAATCTGCAAGCTCCATTGACTACCCTCTGAGATTAATTCTGTCCATTTGTTTATTTTTTTGACTTAGGTTCCCTGCTTCTGCAATGATCCATTTAAAGTCCCCCTCCAATGATCCAAGGCTTCTGCACTGCTGCCTCCCATTGTGGTGAATTAGCCGCATGCACAATAGTTATCTTAAATTCCTTCTAGCTGCTAAATTGCCTTGCCACACTACAAATAAACGGTTCATAACAATAAGATTCTCCGCTTTTGAGAACCAATCAACCTGATCAAAATTCTTTTAATACTGTATATATAAAATATAGAGGATTACAAGTCAAATCATTTAGAGCTTGTTTGTCCAACTTTCATTTTGCCTTTTTGTCTCATTTTACTTCTTAAAATACTTCTCAAACACAAAATTCAATACTATTTAAATAATTTTTTAATTTATCTTTTAAAATTTATTTCAAAAATTATTTTTACACAAGTTTTATCTACAACCACCAGACCACCTCCGCCGCAACCGTCCGCCGCCGGACAGCCTACTGCATATGAAATAATAATATTTTTATACCACCACTGTCCGCCGCAACAGTGGGGGGTTCCGCGGCGGTGCCGGTGATGGAGATGATCCGGTAGTGATATAAATATATTATTATTTTATTTAAAATATTAACTAAACAATTTTTTAAATTTTTTCTCAAAATAATTTTAAATCATATCTCAAACTCAAACAAAAAATTAAACAAACAACTAAAACAAACCATGATCCATACAAGCCCTTAGTCTCTTTATAACAATCCCGAGTCCCACCAAAAATACAAAAAGAAAAAAGGAAACCGCTCCTAGTGTTACCCCTGTTAGTCTTCCATGTTCGTCCTCCAAGAAATTCTCTGTTCGTTGCTCTGAAGTTTTCTTAATTTTCTGTTCGTCTTCGTTGCTCCAAACATTCTCTGTTCATTGTTGAATTTTCTTAGTTTTCCACGCTGCACGATGGACGGCAAACCACATTTTGGGCCGAAGGAACGGAACGAAGAAACCAGTGAAGCTGCTCCCGACGGTGATTTTGTCTTGAAGAAACCGACGGCGACTCAAAAGATTTTGATTCGGTGAATGCATTGCAAACAAGTAAGTTTTCTTTTTGGTTGTATCGAAGTTGCCAATGTTGATGTTTTCTTCCGAATTTCAATTGCTTCTGGGCAAGTTTCTCTTGACGCTTTGGTTAAATTTTGATACCCTTGATCAATCATAAGTTTTTTCTGCTCAATCGATTTCTCGTAATAATGGGTTTCTTGAAAAAATTTTCATTCCTGAATTTCGATTGATTTTTAATTCGGCTTTCCCCACTGCCATTGACATCATGGAAGAAATTTTCAGAAAAAGTCAGATTGCAGAACTGGGTTCCTGCATGCGAGTGTGCCAGGGTTGGCGACGGATAATCAAAGATCCAGCTTTCATGAAGTCTTATGAGGAAAAGTGGCTTCACTTACTGGTATTCAACTATGATGGGGGCTTTAAACTTTTAGTGATTCCTAATGATTATGACTTTAAGGAAATTCTGAGCACCAAATTCTCGAGGATAAGATTATGGTATCAACAGCGTATATTGTGGTGGGATCGGTGTGAACTAACTGAAAATCTCAGATCGTGGAACCAGAGCTTCCACATCACAGGCTGAGCATCACTACCAGAATGAATCATACATGTTTGGTTACTCACCTTCAACACATTTGTACAAAGTTATGCACTTGGTGAAGACAAGGTGACTTTACTATAAAGTAAGTAAAGGCTCCCATGTGGGTAAGGCCCCCAATTATGTGATATTAATAACAAACTTTTAGTTTTCTCTTTTGGAAAAATTTAGTTAAAAGGGTAGCGGAACATGTTAAATTAATAAAAGAGATATGATTTAAAAATATTTTTTATAAAGTACAGTAACTCATTTGTCAAAAATCATAGTATAATAATGATAGTTTGAATTGACATTACTAACCTTACAATATATAAAAAAGAAAATCAAAGCCTAAATCGTTTTTTTCTTTCTTTTTTTTTTTGATAACCTAAATCATTTTTCAAGGAAACGTCGAACAAATTGAAAAGTTCTTTAAAGCTGTGGACAAAATTTTATTTGTTTGACGTACAAACTGCTATTTTTTGCATTAAAATTTGCCGAAAGAACAAACAATTTTGCTCGTAGTTCTCTACTTTTAATTTGTTTATGTGATCATTGATCTTCTTCAATCATTCTCAGTTTAATAGTCTTTTTTTAAGACTTAAAAACCCGAAATGAAAGAAATATTAACCGTAAGGAAAAGGGTTTGAACGATTGTCTTCTTGATTCAATCTTACAAATGTTCACAAAAACTACTTTCAATCGACTTATCTAACAATAAGCTTAATGGAAGCATTCCTCCAAGAATCTTTAAGCTTTCAAGTTTAAGCAATTTGTTGAATCTTTCTTTCACTGGCAATTTGCCAAAAGAAATTGGGCCGCTAGAAGATGTTGTCATAATCGACATATCGGATAACAAATTATCAGGCGATATTCCCAAGTCAATCGGAAACTGCAAAAACTTGCAAAATCTTTGAGTTTGAATCCCTTTCCTTTCCTCTGCCGATTGCTCTGAGAGATGTAGAGGAGAGTGATTTTCATTTTACGTTGTATGATTTGAAAGAGTAATAAAAAAAAAAAGTAATTATGTCATCATAAAATTATAATGTTTTTGTAATTTTTGATAAATAAACCACCGCCTTTCATAAAAATTATTTTAAAGTCATACCCATTTTATTAATTTGACATCTTCTACGGCCCTTTAGCCAAATTTTCCCTTCTCTTTTTATACAAGGAGAAGAATGAACTCGACCAATCTAAAATGTAAAAAATATTATATATTAATATTGATAATATAAATTTAAAATCAATTAAAATGTAAAAATATTATATATTAATGTTGATAATATAAATTTAAAATCAATTAACTTAAAATAGCTCTCTTAGTCATGCAAATTCCATTAACACGAAAATGATCGTAGATATTGATGCTTAAATTTATTTTAAGATTACAAAAATGTTAATTGAAATAATAAATATAAAATTCAATATTTTCTAGTATCATAATGTCAACTGCTACCATGACAGTTGATTGTTTAAAAAGAAATTTTGCAAGTTAAACGAACTGAAACAATTAAAAGTATTTCGACTATCTTATTAGTTGAAAAAAAAAATCAAAATGAATTGATTTGTGAAGGTACATTAACTAAAAATTTTACGTCTAACAAATTTAAAAAAATGATATTCACATAAATTACAACAAATATTAACTAAATTTCTCATTAATTTCACATGAGAAATATTTGACGTTGAGCCGCCATTGGGTGAAGATAGATAATTTCAATGCCTGGGTGACATCAATGTTGACTATCGGTGAGCTTGGATATAGACCCCTTCCCAGAGAGTATCGTTTTCCCATTTCTGAATTCACTGAGTTTCAAAAAAAATTGCCTTGTACTTTGAAGGTAAAATCTATTGGATTGCTGGTTCTACAGAGAATAAAGAGCTTTATCCGTTTGACCTAAACACTGTCAAGTTTTTGAACCTCAAATTCCGGGGGATTCTGTGGATCAACATCTCTTGAAGAACTGAACGACAAGCTATCTGTATGTCTAGTTTTGGGAAGCCAGAATAGTTTGGCCTGTTTTGAAATTTGGAGGCTAGTTGGTAATCAATGGAACAGGGACATAATAGATTGTGCTGAATTACCTTTTGGGCCCAACAACTGGCTCAAACCTATATGCATCAGGGGAGACCATCACACATTGATATGTGGTGCAACTTCCATCATCGAATATGATCATCAACAAGGCACTCTTACCCAAATTCTGAGTACTTATCCACATAACTGTCCTGATCTTTTTCGCTGTGACAATGATCAGTGCCCAAACAGTGGTATTCCCGTCATTCAGAGCTCCCTAAGGGGTTCAGCAATCAAGATTTCACCTAGCTTTGTTCCCTCCCAGTACGTTGCAGAAAGAACGAGCCCAAGAAGCAGAGGAAAGCAAGCATGCATCTGTGTAAACGCCCTTGAATCTCCCTCTCTTTTGTCATTTCTATTTGTCTAGTGAAGCTTCGGGTCTTCTGTAAAATGTTCTTGCCAAAAGTGAAACTTTGAGTAGTCTTGTCACTTGTGGTGGATGAAATGTAATGGTCATTTCTTAGGGAAGGTATCATCAGATCTCGAGTGCTATTAGCAGGTTTCAACTATAAATCCGTATCTAGGTTCAACCATACAAGTATGAAAAGGGATTTTAATCCCAATTTAGTTAATGAAG